CATGTGCATTTATGGGACAATCATCAAATTTCATTTTTTTAATTTGAAAATATTTTTTCTTGTCTTAAATAGAGCAGTTGATCAGCACATAAAGGTTCTGATGTTTTGCTGTCTTTCCCTTTAGCCCTTTGAGGTGGATCTTTCCCATGTTTACTTAGCTTACACGGAAGAAAGCTTGAGGCAATCTCTGATGAAACTGGAGAGGCCAAGGACTTCAAAAGGAAGATCTAGGCCCAAGACTGGTAGAAGGTGAAGAATTTTGGAATATCTGTATGTAATGGGAAACTTACATGGGAAGGCTTAAGTTTGTGCCTACAAACTTGACAAATGTTTGAAGACTTATTGTTATAATACAAAATGCTAAGATTCTGCACTATGTAAGATTTACCAGTGCCAAGTGAGGCAGAACCAAGCTGAAATCTTACTGTGGTAAAATCTTGCCCAGAAAGACATTTATGTAGGGACTTTTCTGGTGTCCTTTTGTCACATTCCCCTATTCTGTCATCTTGTTTTATTTTACTGTCTACTGCTGTAGTTTAACAAGTGACACACTGACAGTGTGTATGCTGGTATTACCAGAAAGTAATGTACTGCTGGGGGAGACTTCAGCAAGGGTGTTCTTGATCTTTTTCTGACAGATGCTTTGTGGAAAAGTTATCACTGTAGTTTTGACTTGAAAAGTGGCTGGTCCTTGTCTTTCCTGGACAGCATAATGATGTCTGTGGTTATTTTTCCTTTCCTTTTTGCTCTCCAAACAGAAAACGTTCTGCAAAGCCAGGAGCTGTCATTGACTCCCTGCTGCAGTAGGTGTGACGTGTTCAGAATTGCCGTAAAAATCAGTGAGTGTATAAGGTTTGGCCAGAATATGCAATTCAAGATGGCACAGTTCGAAGTGGCTATAAAATCCATACCTTGCTGGTATGGAGCTTTATTTAAGATATATATAAATGTATTTTTCCTTAGTTGCCTGTATACTGTATGTTATATTAACATAATATTAAACTGGTATATATTACGGTTGTGAAATTCTGTGTTAAACAATGTGTTGTGCAGGGAAACTATTGCTGGTAATCCTTGTTGAAATGTATAGAAAATAAGGGTTCTAGATGTGTTTTTAAGTGCTAGATGACGTATTAGGTCAAAATGGTTGATGGAATCCTAAAATTTAATGCTGGTAAATCTGATTGTCCTGCTTTGCACATAACCGGCAGCTTTCACTGTTGTCCTCTGTTGCACTGATCTGTTTGAATGTGGTTGCTGCAAACCTTTAAGTTAAGAGCATTAACCCTTTTATTTAAATATTCCTCACTGTATCTATTAACCTGATCATACTGTGTATGAAGTACACAGTCCTCTTGGTTTGCAACCTGGCTGTACAAAGAAAGTAACTGGGTTGGGAGAATCTTGAATTACACAACTTTGGGACTTCGGGGAAGGGACCATGCTCTGTTTAAGTGCAACAGAAAACAAGTATTTCTGAGTAGTGCTTTTAGTTCTGTGTGTGTGTGATCTGCTGGCACTGTGGAGAGTGAGGCCTTTGTAAAGTCAAGAGAACTCTTTTCCTCCTCCTTTTAAGTCTGTGTTGCAGCATTGCTTTGGCTGCTTCTTCTGCTTCTGAGCTGGAAATTGTTTTAATTGATGTGAATTCTTTGTAGTAATCTGGACAGCACAGATTATTCAAGGGAACTGCTTTACTACAGCAGGACTGTGAGCACTGGGGTTCCATTTTTCTCATCCCTGGCCATAACTGAGGCTGAATTACTCTCCTTTATTAGAATAGGCACAAATTGCTCAATTTTCCCAGTACGGTAACATCCCCTGAAACAGCTCATGCTGTTTGTTGGACTCTATCATCTCCTGTTGCTGGCTATGTTTTGAGGGGGGAAAGAAAGGTCTCTGCTGGGAACCATTTATGGTGGCTGCTCTTTGATATTTATGCTGCTAATAGACACATAACACTTTAATACACTACTTTTGTGTCACAGAAAAAGACGCATCTCCTTTGAATTGTGTGTGCTATATAACTCATGCTAGAGCATAGCAGCTGTAGGAATCTCAACAGTCCCATGCCAATGTGGTGTTAATTAGCTGTAACTTCCATGTAATTGTAGCGTTACCTAGAGTTTAAAAAGCTGTGCTCACTAATGTGAAAATTGAGTCCTTAAGCATGACATGAAGACATGAAGAGCAAGATAGCTCCTCAGGTGTCTTGAGTTCTGGACAGAAGCCATGTTTGCTATTACCAGAGCACTCTTGTGAAGTATTTGCAGTAGCTAGAAGTTGATATCCCTTCCTTACTGTCCTGATGCTTAACTGGATGTACCTTGCAAATCTGTAACAGCTCTGTAGCAGGATCTGCAACAGCTAAACTGGTCTTGCAAGGCCACGCTTTGCTCTGGAGCGATGCATTAACTCTATTCTAAATGAGTCCTAAGCTTTTCCCTGGTTTTTCAATGTGTTTTTTCAGGATCATGACCTAGGAGGAGAACATACTGCCTGACTTTTTTTTTTTTTGGGGGGGGTGGAGGAGGGGAGAAGTGGAAGGGAAGATGAAAAGATCCAATTTTTCACCTTAATTCATACAAGATGCAGATATAAACGTTGGCATTTTTTTCCAGTATAGCATTTGAGTAGAGGTACAGATTCAGATCTTTTTCTGACCTAGGATAGTTGGATTTTTCTCTGAAGTGCTGACCTTATTTTGAATGTACTTAAATTAAATTAGGATATCCTACTACATATTTCTCATCAGCAAGACTGAAAATGGCTCAAATGCTTTTTCTGTCTGTTTCTTGGCTCTGTTCTTGTTGGTTCCTGGGCCAAGCAGATAGATGTGTAACTTTGGCCTGTTCTCAGAACCAGGGCAGACTTTTGTATTTCCCTGTTTATTGTGTCTTGCTGTGCTTAGTTTTGTTGAATGATCTGTTTTTAAGGGTGTTTCTCCTGAATTCTACTTTCAAAAAAAAAACATTGAAAATTCTTTGGGAGACCATCCATCAGTGGCTCAAATATGCTACTGTGAGCCATGGCACCTGCATTTAGACTATTTAAAGCTCAACTATAAAGGTACATACATTGTTTGAATTCTTGTTACAATCCTGCTGCTGAAAACAACTGTACTCTATATATTTAAGAACCTTGGGACAGAGAAACTTCAAATAATTGCACACCTTTGTAAATTGGAGGATTGGGATTTCCTGTTATGGGAGCTTGTTTTAAGAACAAATCTGCTCTTACAAGAGGACTTTTTTTTTAAAGTGGAGCTGTCTTCATGATGATCTGTCAGCTTGGCTTGCCTGATAGCTGTGGTGGATGTTGTTGAAGTTCTGGGAGCTTCCTTTCAAAAGAGAGCCTGGCTTGCAGATTTGTCCTACTGGCCCTCTCTGTAGCCCAGGACAATCTGTGAATGTCAGGTGTGCCCGTAACATGTTTTGAAGAGGAATGGGCTGGGTTTGTGTGGGTTTTTAATCCACACAAATAGTCAGTAGAGCCATTTTCATCCCAGGTCAGTGTGAGTCCTATAGAATTTCTCAGTCATGTTACCATTAGCGTGTGCTCATTTTTGCATCTTGCTACCAGAAGATTCCCCTCGTTCTCAAATATCAACCTTGACATTGAGTTTTCCAGGCTTTGTGTTTACTGTCATATAAATGAATTTACATATTTAACTTTTGTTCCTGAACCTTTCTTCAAGTTCAAGGGAGGAGAAAATGGTCCTTAGTGCCTTTCAGAAACTTACTGTCCGCATACATCCAGCTTTCACCTTTCTCAACAGTTTTGTTTAGCCAGTTCTGTATATAGGGAAAAGCTGCTTGTCTAACTTGTCTATCTATTTATTGGTTTTCTAACTGTTTATTTTTTATTATCTTTGTGTTTTATGGTTAAATTTTATTCAGTACACTGTACATATCAGTATTGTGTCCCCAAAGCATGTTCATACCATGAAATAAAACTGTTGATTCTACCTCCCCGCTTGTTTTTTCAAGTAACTATATGCATACAGACTCGTAAATCATTTGGGAGTCAGGCGTGATGTCAGGAAGGGTGGCTGAAGCAGCCTGTATAGCGTTGGAGCACTTGCAGGAGAAGTTAGCTAAGTGAGCTTGGGATGCTGGGGGAGATCCTGTTGCCAAGCCCCAAGGCAGTGAGCAATAAACTCAGGAGAGAAGCAGACAGCAGAATGAGAGTGGGCTTGGCAGGCCTGAGATCAGTGCCCCTTGAACAAGCTGACCCTCTGCTGGGGCTGTCCTGAGCTGCTGGAATGGGGGAGCCTGACTGAGCAAGAGCAGCTCCCTCGCTGCACCACAGCCACGGCTGCCTGCGTTCTGCCTTCTGGGTACGGGCACTGAACAGGTGCTACTGCTGGGAAGGAGAATGTTCACGCTGTGGCTTTGAGTGTCCTCCTGCTACATCCCACGCCTGTCACGGTGTCTGTTTGTGCAGAGGGTATGAAGTTACCTGCAGTAATAGGAAATGTTCAGCTCTTTCCTTTGTTGTGTGAACTCTTTGGTCTGCATCGCTTTTCTTCCTCTGGAAGGTATCTCCGCCTGCTCATGCAGCAGGTAGCAGACCACAAAAAACCTGTGAACTTTGCAGCTTCCCTGAGTCCTCTGACGCAGCAGATGCACAGTCCTGGGACTTTCCAAAGCCTTCTCCCACGCTGTGCCAAAATTGTAAACTGATAGTCTTGCAGGTATTTAGGTGTCTGTCCCCTGCTGCTGGGGAAGGACTAAATACTGCCAAATACTTGACTAAATACTCGACAAAATGAAGCTTGTGCCCTGAGCCAGCTCCTGCCCGTGCAGTCAGGATTCCCTTCACAACCCCAGGGCTTCCTTGCAACTTATATTGCAGGTGTGCTTCCGTCCTCGCTGTGCTCTGGCCAAGAAGCATCTTGTGCAAACTAAGCATGTTTACTCCAAAAATACATTTATTTAAAGAATCATAAATAACATTTGCAAATACAATGTCAATACAATAATTTAAAAAAAAAAAATAAATCACAAATTCTCTTTTGCTACTCGTTGGAGGGTTCTGTGGAGGCCCCGTAGGAACTCCTGCAGGGAGGTAGTGTTGCCTGCTGCCACGGGACACGGTGCCTGCAAGGGGGAGACGTGGCTGTTAGCCAAGCCCTTCGTCTTCAAAGCCCAGCTGCTGGAAAGCAGCAGCCAGGCATGCAGCAAAGTGCCCGCCTGAGGTGCCCAGGAAAGGGGAGAAGCACAGGGTGTTGAGATTCTGGGGGCTGTGCCCCCGTGGGGACCGGCGCTGCCTTACCTTGAGGCTGGTGCTCTTTGTCACGATGTGCAGCAAGTTGAGGTAGATGCCCTTCAGGGGTTTGTGGCAGCTCAGGCTCTCGAAAACAACCGTGGAGGCTTTGCACAGGAGCTCCATGTCGGTGCCTGTCTGGAAGAAGATGCAGACGGCGTTTTTAGAAACTGTTCAGTCACAGCCTTGTTAGCAGTGGGCTAAAACAGCGCAAATAACCCATTTCTAGCCTGAAGGGCAGACACAAAGCAGCTCGAGGCCTCCCCTGACTCCTCCATCCCCAGGTGAGGCGGTGGGGGGGGGAATGGATCCAGCCCTGGCCCCGGGCTGCCCACGGCTGTGGGTGGCAGCTCTGTGGGAATCACGAAGCCCCCTGAGGAGAGTTCATCTCCTCCAAGTGCTCTGTGCTGATGGAGTCCCGTGGCAGCAGTGTCACAGCTGAGGCGATCAGAGAAGCGCCTGCGGTGCTAAGGAAACCACGCAGTCGCCTTCCCTGACGCCGCCTGTCCCTGGAAAGGCAGGCCGGTGGGGGAGAGCTGTCCCTGCTCAGCTTTCTTCAGCTTTCACCCCAAATTTCTCCATTAATCGAGCAACAGGCCCATCTCCATGGCATCCTTGCCCGACCCTCCAGGGCAGGCGTTGCAGCGCTGAAGGACGAAGGGGCCCTCGTAGGGCACAGGCCGGAGGGGCTGAGCTGAAGCACCGATGCTTTTAGGGGCAGAAAGCTGCCCTCTCTGCACCCAGGGATCGGGATCCATCCCTCCTCTGTTCTCCTCCATCCTGTGCTTCTCAGGCCCTCGGCCGGTGCCGTTCCCCCGCGTTGTGCTCGGTGCCCCGGGCATCGCCTCGGCCCCACAGCACCCGGGGCCGGTCCCCACAGCGGGAGGGGAGCTCCCGTGCCCTGGGGAGGGCATCGGCTTTCTGTGAAAACAGGAACTCTGGGGCTGGGGAGCCGGGCTTAGGCAGCAATTTTCAGAGCAGAAATAGGCTTTATTATCTGCCATTAAATCTGCTGCTCACTAAAGAGCCTTCCTCCAGCCCGGGGGCTCAGGAGGGATGGGGAGCCTCACACCAGCGCTCGAGATGCAGCGTGAGAGGGGTGTGTGGGTGTCTGTGAGAGAGTGACACACGGCTCCAAGGAAAGGGAGCATTTCCTCTCTTCCTTTCTGAAAACCTCTAAAAAAAGTTTTTTTTAAAAAAAAGCCCGTATGCTGCTGCAATACTCTCATTCCTGCCTGTTGCTCTCCTGCCTTCCAGCTGGGCCACGCGGACGGGGACCGATGCCACCGCCAGCGTTTTGTGCCCATGGATTGAGACAGAGCTCGGGGTGGGCACGCAGAAGGTGGTGGCCGTGTCCCACCGCCCCGGTGCCTCGCTGGTGCCGGCAGCACGGGGACGTCTCGGCCCCAGGCCCTGCCTGCGTGGGCACGGGAGGGTTTGAGGCCCCGCGGGGAGCCTCTCCCGCCACCGCCGATGGCCGAGTCACAGCTTTCGAGTCGGCGTTCCCGTCTTACCTCATTGCCTGCAAAAACGTTTGTCACGTTCGCCTTGTCACAGGAAACCTTTATCAAGACAGAAAGGAGAGGAGCAATCAGAGAAGAGATATCGCCGCCTCGGAGCCACCCTGACACACGCAGCCGGGCTCTCCCCGTACCCCGGGACACGGCTGAAAGCCACGGCCGGCTTTGGCAGCTCTGCCCGGGCTCAGCACCTTCCTCCTCGTGCCCGGCACGGCCGCCGTCCCTCCCTCCTGCACCCACTGCACCTACCTGCGTGGAGAGGATCTCGCCCAGCAGCCGGATGCTCTCCTTCAGAAAGATCGAGCGCTCCAGCACCGCGGCCTCGTGGCCGTGGCAGGCCAGCAGCGCCAGGAAGGCGAGCAGGACGGAGAAGGAGGTGCTCATGGCCTGCTTGTACCGAGCTGCCTCAGCTCGCAGTTTCTGGATATTTGGGTGATCTATACCTGTGTGTGCCTTTCTGGAAGGAACATCTCAATTTATGGCTGTAAAATTGCTGAACCAGAGGGAAAAACTTATTTTTCCCTTATCTGCACTTTCCAAAGTTGCTCCTATCCAATTAGGACAACAGGTCTTTTTTGTAAAAGTCAAGATTTTCTTCTGATCTTGTATTACGTTTCAACAAAGGAAATTTCCATCGTTCAGATAACGGTGGTAGGAGTCAGATCACGTACAAAGGAAAAGTGTAAACTGCCTGCTTTGGGCTTCTCCGTTTCTCCATATCCCAACCCTTTCTGTACACCGTGAGGTTAACGTGTCGTGAGCCCAAATTGCGGACCACGGCTGTGACCGCGCTCAGATAATGGAGCTTTGCTTTTTCTTGCCTTTTTTTTTTTTTTTTGTTCTCTCTAAATATCCTGTGAGCGCTTCCATTGCTCAGCTCTCGTTTCATTTGAATATCTCCAAATCATGCAAAGCGTCATATCATCTGCATACAATTTTGTCTACACCGTTATCTTCACCTGCACGCGGGGAGAAACAGAAAGGGCGGCGCGGCGCCGCGGCGAGGTGCTGCGGGGGGACACGTCCCTCCTGGCCCTGCGGGACCCCAACACGGTGTCCCCACGGGGACCTGGGCATGGTGTGGGGGCCTGCTGCGGCCCCACAGCCCCATGAACTGGTCCCATATCAGTGGTGTGGGGCTGAGGGGCTGAGCGGCTCCGCTCCACCCCGATGGATCCAAGAGCTGGGGGATGCCCTGGCCCATCCTGCCCCGCTGGGGAAACAGCCCAGGGGAGGTTCAAACGCCGGGTGCCAGGGGCACCGTCAGCCAGCGCTGCCGCAGGAAATAACGCTGAGAAATTAGCTGAGCTGGGAAACTTCGGAGTTTTGTAATAACTAATAGGTATTTTTCTAACTCAAATAGCAACTTGCAATCAGATGCTTGATAAGGGTTTGCGAGCGCTCCATGAATTCAGGAGCAGCCAGACTGAGAGTAATTTTGTTTGTCTACTTATGAAATGCCCCTGATAAAATTAGTGCCACTGACTCAGAAAGACATTTGCAAGGGATTTGCCAGTGGAGCCCTGCACCGTTTCCTACCTGCACCGCGCCCGATGGGGCGCAGATAAGCGAGCGCACGGCGGCAGCGGGAGCACGGTGGCAGCGTCCCCACCGGTGGCACTCACCGGGGGCCGGGGGTGCCGAGCTCCTCACCGGGATGTCTGGAGCTGGGGTGGCCACAGCCCCACTGTGCTGGGTGCCAGGGGACAGCGGGGCACGACAGGAGCCTAAAAATGGTGCAGTGGAGATGGGGACAGAGGTGGCAGTCCCGTCCCCTTGGGGACAGATTCCCCTCAAGGGGCTGTGGCAGACACAGCGGTTTCTCCAGTGATTATGGTAGAAAGATCTGAAACTGGGATAAATTAAAAAAAAAAAAAATTCCCTCTACGTTATCAGAAGAGCCTAACCTCTGAGCTACTTGGGCTGAATCACGGTGGAAAACTGCGTCACTGTGCGATGGGTAAGTCACAGGGAAGGAAAAATTCCCACATCCTTTCCCCAGGGTGGGATGCGGCTGATGGCACTGATGTCCCTTGGTCCCTGGGGGCATGGCAGCGTGGGCCCTGCTGCTGCCCACCCACGAGCTCGGCCACACCTGGGGACAGCTTTTCCAGAGCCCAGCCCGTGCTCGTTAGGGAGCTCATCAGGCTCCTTCCTCATCCCGCTTGGTCTCGGTCTCCCTTCTGCCACAGGACTCAGCTCCAGCCCTTCCCTCTCCTCTCAGGTTTGGGGACCTGCCCCTAATTATCCCTCTGCATTTATTCGTGGCTGGTTTGTGCACATTTCTGCGTGTCACTGTCATGCTCCAGCTCCCGGCTCTCTCCCAGGTCCCCTCTCCCAGGTCCCCTCTCCTCCCTGCCTCCTGCATCCCGCAGGGACCAGCCTGCTGCCATTTCTCCGGGGTGCTGGGCTCAGAAGTGCTTCCAGCTGCTCTCTGTGGGGTTTGACACATCCCATACCTCGGGGGCTGAGGTGCCTGGGGGTGCCCAGCCTGGGCTGCCAGTGCCAGAGTCCTGCAACCTCACAGCAGGGCTGCTCCAGGTGGGCACGGCCACCCGTCCCCATCTGTTTTTGGCCCAAGAAAAGGGCCGTGGCTCTTCCAGAGTAAATCCAGAGGCTGCAGCTGACCCCCCAGGGTGACGCATGACAGCTCCGTGGCCCTTTTGCCTGCCCCTGCCCATGAAGCTGCCACCCCAGCGCCCCTTCCCCGCGCCAGCCGGACCCAGAGGCAGGACCTGGTCCCCAAATTCCCAACCCCTGGGGAGCCGATGGAGCCGACAGCAGGAGCCATGCGTTTGGAGCTCGTTGGTCAGTAGTTTATTGCTTAGGCCCTGAGATGTTTTTACAACAACAGTGCAAATTTGAAGTGAAAAACAAAGTAATACTGACTTCCAAATACATGATAATTGGAATATATTAACTCTGTTGTAATAGGAATATTTTAAATAAAGGAACAATAAATTATCCATCAGTACACATTCATTTGTTGAATGTCGTGAAGAGGCAATTAGGCACAAACAGTTCCCTAAGAGTGAGGTAGCAGTAATTTAAATACGACTATTCCATAGAACTACTATCATATAAGTTAAAAATAAAACACATCTGAATCCTGGCTTTTTCCTTGGCTCCTGACTGAAGAAAAGCACACAGCAGCTGCTTTCCACGGTCAGGACCTCTTGATCGTGAATCTTTAGACTAAGCAGTATAAAAATAAGTTATTTAAATAAAATATAATAAATAATCTCTGGAACTGTGATGCTCATGAGCACCCATTGGATCCAGTTGCCCTACAGACTATCCTAGTCTTTGCTATTAATAACTTAGAAGCCCACTGACGATATAGAAGACACTGCAAGTTGCATGAAGAGCTCGCCGTGCTGGCCGTGCCGCCTCCCTCCCTGCTGCTTGTCCACACCGCGATCCTGGTGAGCTGCTGGAGCAGGTCGTTAGCGAAAACGCTTCATTTCAGCCCAGATTTTGATCTCTTTAGGAAGAGGAGGCAATTATGAAGAAGCCTCCCTTCCTTAAGGGGAACAGGAAGCAGATAATCTGGTTTTGGTTTTGTTTGCATCGGGAGGTGAACGAGTTAACAGCACCGCGCCGGTGGCTGCGCTGGGGACACCCGTGCCTGGGGTTGGGGACGCGCATCCCAAAGGTCCCAGCACCCAGCCCCGCACACGGGGCCTCTCCTGCAGGGCCCGGCTGTCAGACACAGCCGGGGAGGTGCTGGTGCCTGTGGGGTTGGGGACGGAGACGGTGATGGGGACAGTGATGGGGACGGGGATGTTTCCCATCGCCAGCCAGGACTGAGTGCAGAGCATTTAGGATTGCGTTGGGTTTGGGAGGACTGGAGTCAGAACCAGGGAAGTGCATGCCATGAGGAGCTCAAAACACTGCAAAAAACCTATTTCAAGAACTACCAGGGCTAGGATCGCTCGGTGGGAGCTGCCAGCTGGGGGGCTGCGCGTGCCTCAGTTGGCAGCCGTGGTGGCGAGGCGCCGGTACAGCGCCTGCGTGAAGTTCCCCAGCTCCGGCAAGAAGTTGCGCAGGTAAATCTCGTTGTCAGTGCTCAGGGAGCAGCCCTGGGGAAGGAGAAGCAGAGGCGTGTGAGCGCACAGCAGTCACACCTGGAAGCTGAAGGAGCTCCCACAGCGGGCGTTTCACACCTGCCTCCCAACCGCACCACCCATCAGCAGCCGTGAGGACCTGCCCCGGAGTTTTGGGTGTGTGTCCTCAGCTCGGGACAAAATCCCAGCCCCAGCCACCTGTTCTGAGAGCACCCAGCAGCTTCCCCAGAAGGAAAACCAAGCCCCTGCAGGGCTGCAGCACCCGGGGCCACCCCGGGAGGAGCGCTGAGAGCGCGGTGCTGCTGCTGGGGGTGCGCAGTGCTCACGGCTGCACAGACTGAACCTGAGGGGAACAAGGGCACCGCTGCTGGACCCTGCACTCACCGCCTTGCCGTGGAGGCTCTTCAGGTTGATGATGAGGGGCTCGTAGTCATTCTTGCACCTGGTGACCTTGGCGAGCGCCGTGGCAGCTTGGCACAGCAAGTCGTGCTCCGAGAGCTGGCGGAGAGGAACGGCACAATCGTTAGAGCCACGCCGCTGGCTGAAATCATTGCTCCCCACCTGAAGTGCCCAGGGCAGGCAGGAGGCTCTGCAGGGACTTCCTCGAGCGCCCTCACTTCACTTTAAATGACCTCCACACCCCTCACCCCAGCGGTGCGGGGAGGCCCAGGCCGCGGGCTGTGCCCGTTATGTAAGGTGTGGGCAGCCCGATGGGGCGCAGCGGCCACCCACGGGTGCGTGCTGGAGGCAGCTCGCGGGGCGGGTTCAATTTTCGGGAGCTTGCACCCAGCTCGATGCGCTTGTGCGGCACAGCTCGGTGACTAATAAAACGCCCCCTGCTTTGCGGTCTGCGTGCAGTGTTGACAAGCGCTCTGGTTATGTCTGTATTTACTAAAAATGTGTTTTCTGCATAGCCGTAAAGCCTTTGTTACCTTCCGATCCGTGAAAGCGACCTGTGCCACTCTGGTGTCATTGCAAGGGACCTGGAGAAAGGACACAAGTGAAAGCTGTCATTAGGAGACCGTCCCCAGTGGCACCACCCACAGCCAAAACGCCAGTGGGCGAGGAGCAGCCGCTGAGCCCGCGGTGCTGCCGCCGCTCCCCGGGGATGCGGTGTCCCCATCCTGCTCCCCACGGCCCCGGTGCTGCTGGGCCCCGGCACTGCCACTGCCACCAGGAGCAGGGACCCTGCGGTGCCACCCGCCAGGCTCTGCTTTGGGCTGCCTCATTTGGCAGCATTTTCCTGCTCCATTCCCATGTCCCCGAGCAGCCTCGTGCACCGCTGTGTGCTCAGCGCCCAACGAGCCCCGAGCCTGGGCACTCGGTCGGAGCGGCTGCTGCATGCTTGGGTTGGTGACAGCATCCCTGCACCGAGGATTGGCAGAGCCAAAACCCAAAATGAGGTGAGGGGAAGAGCTGCACCCTCCTGGTGACCCCCTATGGAGAGAGGGGATGCTAGGAGAGGGCCTGGGCTGTGCGTGGGGCTGCTAGGAATCATCAGTAAAGCCATGGCTACCGGAGAAGCAGCCACGAGGTGTTTCGGTATTTACCTGCACTCCCGTGTTGAGCTGCTGGATGCGGTGGGTGATCTCCGACAGCTTCAGCCTGGACGCGGTGGACGAGGTTGTCGTCAGCGGTCGGGACGAAATGAGCTCTGCCAGGTAGAGGAGAGCAAAAGCAGCCTTCAGCGGGGAGAACATCCTGTCGCGGCCCCTGGGTGCTCTTCCCCTCCGGCAGGCTCACTGCGAGGACCTCACTGCCTCGCTGCTTGGCAGGGCACGATTTTTATAGTGCGACCAGGCAGCAGCATCTCCATCAAATACCAAATATAGGTGTCTTCCTGTGCTGATCTGGCAGGGCTCCCCAAAGAAGGGCATTATGTAATGCCGACGGCACAGACTTCACCCTCACCAACTTTATTCGCTTTTCACTGACCATGCAGATTTTAATCACCTGATTGATAGATGGAGAGATACCGAAATGGGAAGTCTAGAGTCTCTGGCTGCTGTCGGGGGATCTGTCTGCTGTCGTCGTGCAGCGGGCGCTGTGTGGAATACCCTCGAGGTGAGCCCGAAAACTGAGTGCACCGAGAGCCAAGCCAAGCAAGGCGCTCGTGCTCGAGCAATGCTCCCAAAGCCTCCTTGCCTCACTCACGGACAGGACAAGGGATGGTGTGGAAGGACCCGCTCCAGGATGCGTGCAGCTGGGATCCCCTGCCCCGATGGCATTGCCTCACTGGTTTCAGCACAATCCCAGTGTTTGCTTGAATTTTGGTGCATTTGGGGACTGGACATTGAGTAGGTTTATGAAAAGGTGCTGGGCAGGGGCCGGTGTCACCCTGCTGTTAGGAAACCAAGGCCCAGAGCAACACGCAAGCAGAAATTTGCTTTTTCACTGGAACATGCTCCTTGGCTGCCCCTCCGGCCTCGTCTCTTCTGGGTCCATCCCCTGCTGGCACTGCCCACACGAGCATCCTCAGTGCTGCAGCGGGGGTGTGGTGGGGAGCACCCCAACGCTGCTTTCTGGGGGCTCCACCACCGAGAGGGGACCTGGCCACCACCGGTGTCTCCTCCTCTGTGGTGGTGGCCCCGTGGATGTCCCCGCTGCGGCTCGGCTGCCCCTGCTGGAAACGGGCAGCCCCGGGGGAGGAAATGGGGAGCGGCTGGTGTTGGGGGTTTGGGGGATAAATGAACCGAGTGTCAGAAAAAATCACATTGCTTGGCCGTAATGGCAGCAGGATCTGGTAAGCTAAAGTAGCCAAAATCAGATTTTGAAAGGAAAGAAAACCTCGAAACTTTTATCAAGATGTTAAACATCTGCAAAGAAACAAAAAAAAAAAAATGCTCTTGCATGTAAAGGAAGAAGTAGCTGAGGGGTTTTTCTGGCGTGTGGGTGTTTGGCTTTTAACGAGGACTTGCTCAGCTCTGCAGCACGTATCCCCTCCTGCAGCGCCCGGCCTGGCACGGAGCCTGTCGGCCCCATAAGGTGCCCGACCACGCTGTGCCCCCCGTCCCACGCCATCCTGTGCCACCTCATGCTGCCCTGTGATGTCCCAGCCCATCCCATGACACCCTACAGCACCCCACAGCACCCCACGCTGATCCGCGGTGCGGCAGAAAACCTGCGGTAGCTGAGGGAGATGCAGACACCTTTTCCTTAACCACGCCAGCAGCCACACACCTGTGGTTATTTCCCACCACTGCTAAACCGAGCCGGCTCTGGGAATTCGGTGGCGTGAAACGTTGACTTGCCAAAACGCCTTGTTTCTCCCCAAAGTTCTGCCATGCACGTTTTGGAGCCCTGTGCCTCCAGCCCAGCCCCGCGGCAGCCTCGCGGTGCTGCTGCCCCTGCCCAGGAGCCCCAGCTGTCAGCTTGTTCCTGGACAGAGGCTTGGAAAAAGCTGCAAATTTTTCAATTTTTTTAGGAAATATTGGAACATTTCCATTTTCACAAATTATTTTTAAATTTTTGGTAAATGTCAGTGTTGTGTGGTCCAACCAAGGGCTGAACTTTGCTTTTCAAGCCCATTTTGGTGCCTTATTTCTATATTCAAAGATCCGACACCACAGTGGCAGGACTGGGCTGGAGCCCCCTGTTTTCACTGACATCAGCTGCTTGCATTAGCCTGGAGAAAGCCGTTTTTCCTGGGAGCTGAAAAAAGCCAGAAGCGATTCCCAGATGTGGAATTTCCCAGCCATTAGAGGCTGGGACAGAGCCAGATGGAGCCTGGAGGATTTCCTCCGCAGGCACCGGGAGGGAGGTGAAGGCACGGGGGTGTGTGCAGGGTGGTGGAGCAGAGCATGCGTCTGTCTGTCCATCCGTCTGTCTGTCCTAAAGCCAGTTTCCTGCGAGAAGCTCCCTGAGCTGGCACCACCCGGGATGGGTTCCGGGCACCTCGGGGACATGGGGTCAGGGGGCACGGGGCTGGGGGCATCCCACAAAGCCACACACCCGCGCCCGGCGCGTCATCTCCCCCCCAGGCAGATAAAAATCATTCCCCCTAACTATTGATACGGTAACGTTGATGATGGGAAAAGCTGACATGTATCAATTCGGCTCGTGTGGGTGGAAAACGATAGCTAGAAGGTGGAGCCCGGTTCTGAGAAATGGTGGTGAGCTGGGGGCTTGCTTCCTCGGGCAGGAGGGGGCGAGGGACGGGGACCACAGAGCTTTGGGAGTCCTTGGCCAGAAGGGAAACGAAATAACGCGCCCAGAGCATCTGTGGCTGCTCTAAGCACCGGAACCAGCAGTGGTGTGAAATGATACAGGGAACTTCTGCCTGGGCATCACCCCCAGCACGGACACCCGCTGGTGTGCCCCTGTCAGGCAGGACACAAACCCTGTGGGTCTGGGAGCTGCTGCCATCAGGGCAGTGTGGGAACAAGCCCAAAATCTAGGGAAATGTAGGAAAAAGCCATCCTGAGATTAAAAGCATCCAAAATGCTGCTGTCATTCATCACAAAATCAATCCAGGCAGATGACGAAACCCTCAGTGCAACCCAAACCTGATTTTTGTGTTGTCCTCCTGTCCCAATTCCTGCTTTTTTTCTTTGTTTCAGCAGCGAAGCCCAGGCTGATGCCCACGACCACCGCAGGCAAAGGAGGAGCTCCTGGGCAGGGCAGCGCTGGTGGCAAGGGACGGGGTCAGCAGAACCTGAGGGAAAGAACTGGGCACAGGGGGCAGGTACGTCTGATTTTAGGGGCTGCCTCTCCCTGTGGCATCACCCCCTTCTTGTTTCTGGCTCTGTAGGCAACAGGGGAACAGTTGTCCCCTGTTTTAGATGGGCTGGGTTCGTGCCTTTTAGGCCAGGTAGCTGCAAGACAGGAGAGGGCAGTGGTGTTGCTGGAGTGTTCCCAGCACCTGCACCCCCCCAGCTGCATCTCAGCACGCTCGGAAATTCTCCTCCAGGCTGCCCCGGTGCTGAAAGCAGCTGTGCGGCCTCCACACCTTGAGCTCAGCAGCCCAGCTCGTCCCACGGCTGTCCCAGTTCATCCCACAGCTGCCCCAGCCGCACTGAGTGACGGGTCCTGTGGAGGGCTGGGGTCACGCAATTAGGAAGCGGTTCCTAGGACCCAGGGGGTGGTATAACGGGGATGATGCACACACAGAATCACAGAATCATTCAGGTTGGAAAAGCCCTCTGAACCAGCTGGTCCAACCACCCCCCTACCACCAACGTCACCACTAAACCCTGTCCCCAAGCACCACGTCCAACCCGTCCTTGAGCACCCCCAGGGTTGGTGACTCTCCCACCTCCCGTCCCCGTGCCTGCTCTGAGCAGAAACGTCTCCTCATTTCCAACCTGAACCTCCCCTAGCGTGACTTGAGGCCATTCTCTCTTGTCCTATCTGGTTATCTGTGCGAAGAGGCCAACCCAACTCTTCTGTGATTTTTGAGGGCTTAATTTTGGGCAAATCACCATTTTCTCCTTTCCAAGGACAGCCCAACTTGGCATCTGGACACAGACCATTTTTTTTCAGACCATTTTCTCATGTGTGCCGCTCCTCGATTTCTGAAGCTGGTGAGAAGTTAAATAAAACTTTTTATAACACTAAAATGTGGGTCACAATATAACATCTAGCATCAGCACATGCAGTATCTCTTGAATCAGTGGTTGAGTTTACAAACCGTGTTTCAGAATGCAAACGCGGCCAGCTGGAGCCTCCCCGCTTCCTTCAGCCAGCGCAGCTGGAGGGGAGGGTGTGTGACAGACACAGCAAATGCGATTTTTAATTTTTTTTTTACATAAACCAAGTTACATGGAATAGGACGGACCGGATGAAGGAGTTCTTGTTTCCCAAAGGTGAGATCTGGCCATAGGTAGGGGCTTGGCTGCTGGCTCCTGGAAGCTTGCCCAAGGGGGTAGTAAACAAACTGTCATAGTGAAATAGATCAGGAATGATATTTCGAGTGACATTTAGATGCTAACGAAGTTACAAGCATGAAATTGTTAAACTTTTGATAGGATCGCCTATTTTTTTATTGGCTTAGTTTGTGGTGTTTATTTGTAACCATGCCTTTTTTTCTTTTTATTTTTCGGAAGTGTTAAACACGAAGAACTTGGGGCAGAGCTGCCGTGTCTGTAGCAGCCTCCGAGCATCCAGCAGGCCACTCGCACAGCGTCGCTGGTATCGAAGGATGCCAGAGCTTACACGCGCTGGTTCTCCACCGCTAGCACAGCCCCCACTTGGCACCGAGGCTGTTCAGACAGCGATGTCTCTAAGCCCGTTTTTTCCCAGTGAAAGCATCTGTCTCCTCGCTGACCGAGTGCAGATAAATGAAATTATGTCGTTGGAGACAGAAGTGGTGTGGCATGGAGGTGGTGGTGGGGAAGCGATGGAGGCATCGCCCCGGTGCCCGTTCTGCGGGGCTGAGCCCATTGCTGGCGCACCCGCTGGCAGTCCTGTGAGTGCACCTAAAATTGTTTCCAGTTTTCTTCTTGGTTCTTAAATCCAGGCACAGCCCAGTGGGCCTGTGGCCGCGCTGTCCTTGCCATGGGCTGTGTGTGGTGCTGTGGGGCTGGGATTTCTCTGCCGATGGCTGGAAATGAGCCGCGGCTCCAGCCGAAATGGCGAGCGGGGAGGTGGTGGCTGCACGGCTTTGTCACCTGCCCAGGTGGTCACCTCGATACAGCCGTGCCCCATGCGCCTTCAACCACATCTTGAATCACAGAATCATTAATTCAGGTGGGAAAAGCCCTCCAAGATCAGCTGCTCCAACCATCCCCCTACCACCAATGTCACCACTAAGCCATGTCCCCAAGCACCCGTCCTTGAACACCCCAAGGGACGGTGATGCCACCACCTCCCCGGGCATCCCATCCCGATGGCTCACCGCTCATTCTGAGCAGAAACACCTCCTCGTTTCCAACCTTTCCTGCTTGGTTTTGTGCTGTAGCACTGAGCCTTACGTGGCACCACCTGCCAGGAGGAGCCCTGGCCCCTTCCCTCCGCGCATCCCGCTCCTTCCCACCCTCTCCCGGGATGAGGCCGGGGGCAGCTGCCATGGAGCGGCTGCGGCGCGGCGGCCGAGGCAGGAAGCTGTGGCGGGGCAGGGATGCCCTTGACGTGGCTCTGGGGGCGGCTGACAGCGCCGATCTGTAGCACCCCAGCTTCCTGTGGGTGCGGGAGGGGAGGCGGTGGCGGCGCAGCAAACCCCTCACCACGCTCACCCCGCAGCAGTGCCGGCCCCACTCAGTCCCCAAGGCACCCGCGAGCAGTGGAAGGCAGCGAAAGGATTCGGAGTTTCTCCTGTGTGCCATTCCCATGAGCATGGCTCGTCCGTGATTTTTGTCTTCCAGGCGATATCAAAACCGTGGGGCTGGTGGTGTCTGCTCTGCTCGCACAGCCACAGGTTCCTCCTTGGAATAAGCAAGTGAAAGGCGTGGAAAAAATTGTGGGGATCACCGGCTTTTTATCATTTTAATGCTGACACTTAATGGCAGAGGAGGCAGCTTCCCAACTCATTTTCTATCCTTTCTCCAAGTTCTGACAAAAATTCTAAGCCCATAATGCATGTAGGTAACATCTGCAGCTGGGGAACAGAGAAAGGTTGTTAAAAGCAAAAGTGTGTCTAAGCTTTGTTATAGGGGAATGGCAATCTGTGTCGTTATCTTGTTTGGGGGAAGGGGGAGGAGAAGAAGGGGAAGCACGGAATCCACAAAGGTAGGGGAGTTGCTTCTGAAGATAAAGTAATTCTTCATGAGCCGGGATGTATGTGTCACGCTAAAATAAACAGGTAGCACAGGAAAATTTGAAAATTCAAAGTCATTTTTTTCTGTTGATTAGATCTTCAAGAAAATTCCCCTTCAGGAAGTAGTACTAAAGTCAGTGAAGCTTCTTACTTAAAACTGCAAACGTAATGCATGTTAGTAGCATTTTCCTTCGTCTTCTTTCGCCCCCTCCCCAGTTTAGTGTCAATTGCCTTTTCAGGGGATCGGTGAGTGTAATTGCTAGGAAGTCCCATTCGTATGTTTATTTTTCAGTGTTTTCCCCGGTGGCGGGGGCACCTTGACTCTAACAACCTGCATTTTCAGAAAATTGAAAATTTCAGGTGGAAACAATCCTTAGTTCAAGTGCTGTTTCTGGCATTACCCTTCGACGCCCCTGCTGCCATGTCCACCGAGCCCTCTGGTGCTGTGCAGGGCTCAGGAACATCACCTATGGAGACGTGCAAACAGAGACCCACGCTGCTGCTGGGTTTTGGTGCAGATGTTATCTAGACACTTTAGCAGGTGCTGTCCCTTTTTACCTTGAAGGGTCCTGCAGGGCCACAAGGGGCATAGCACAGGGCTGTGTCACCGTGTCACTGTCCCCTGCAGCAAAGCCCTCGGGGCAGGGGGTGGCAGAGCTGCCTCTGTCCGTGGTGCTGGCACCTGCCCCTGCTGCCCTGCCAGAGCAGGAGGAAAAGGCAGAGTACAACGTTCCCATGCTCATTCCTGTGTTTTCCAAAGTAAAATGCCCTGCTGTTAATTAAATTAACATTTTTTTAAAGTGGTTTAGAGATTCTTCCTTTGAAAGTGAGCTTTAGTCATATGTTGTCACCTAAGGAGGTTCAGGCAATCACTGGTGGCTGCAGCTTTCAAGAGCTCTAAGTCCAGCTTCAGTTTGTGGGCTTCTACCCAGATTTGGATGTAGAACAGGTGCCCCCTCACTTGGTTATGAAGAAACAGCTGCCCAGAAATGGCATCCCTCAGACTTTGCATGACTGCAGAGGCAGCACAGTGCGCTGCTGAGGTCTCACCTCTGAAATCTCAAGAGTTAATGCTGATCGGGTCCTGTTGGCTTTCCGCTGTCATTCTAACTAAGTGGCTGGTTTCCTTTTGCTATTGAGTGATGCTGAAAACAGCTCAGAAGAGCTGAGTAGGGGTGGTGAAGATCAGCATCCATACAAACTAACTCCCTGGGGCAGATCTGTTATCATTTTTACAGAAGTCGATTCTATCTTGCAGAGGATCTGAATATGACCAAGTACTCTAGATTTTGACTCAATTCTTGTAAACATCATCATAAACTAAGTGACACTGTATGACAGTTCTGCCCACAATAAACAAAGAGAATATGGTTAAAATAGGCTTCTGTCATCCCTTCACTCAGTCATCCAGTTTTAGATGGGACTTTCCTTCATTCTAAAGGAAGGTGTCACACTTTGTAAAGATTCTGAGCAATAGTACCTTACAGAAACAGTACTAAGCATCTTTTTTGAATCCTGTGATTTTTGTGTAGATGAGGCAGGTGGCTAGAAACATACCTTGTCTGGAGAGATGCAAATCAATTCTGAACTTGCCATAACAAAGTGATGGAGGGCAAACCCTATTGCACCGACAGATCTAGAGCTGTTCCAAAGAATGTGCATCTAGATCCAGACCAGGACATATACCAAGAACAACACTTTATTTTTTCTTTTAAAATATAAAATAAACCTAAAAGTTAACTGCCCTGTATTCACTTACATTCTCCCAACTCATGGTGAAACCTGAACCCAGATGCAGAAGTAAGTACAGAGATATGAAGTTTAAAAATGTAATAGTTTCAGACTTGAGCTAAAATCTTCATGATACTATATGATAAGAAGGAGCTACATTTTCAGATGCCTTCCTCTGACCTCTAAGTTTGGCAGCTAAGCCAAATTATAATTGTAAATTAAATTAATTTAATTCATTTTAATTGTTAATTAAAAAGTAATTATAATACATAATTACTTGAAATGCTAATGAACATATGAGCCAAGGGAGCTGACACTGCATTTCATGATCTCAGAGCACTGGTCATCGTTCTTCCGTATCCTGTAGAAGGTCTCCACATATTCAGAACGGCCCAGCAGTTCAACAAAATCTTCATCATGAGTTATCACCAGAAGCTGAAAGTTACGCTGTTTTGTGCGGTTTTTTATTATCCTACAAAGAGATATTATTCAGTGTAATTCAATCTATATTGCTGTCTAGTTTTAGTAAACTTGTACAAAAATATTTAACTATTGAAAACTACACGAGTGTCAAGCAATCTAATGTAGATCAGCACCTCTTTTTACCCATATTAAAAAAACAGCAACAACAAAATACAAATTATTTTTTCCTCATCCAGATAAAGGAAAGGGAATCTAAAGCTACTGCTTTGCATGTATATCAACATATGTCAACAAAGATAGGTCTGCTTGAAATAAAATCACTTCCTAACACCAATCACTAACATTAACATTTGAAAAATATCCAAGCTTCACAAGAAGAGATTACTTACTCCACGAGGGCATGTGCAAGAGACTCAATGTTTTCTCGATCAAGATTGGTGGTAGGCTCATCTAGTGCCAATATGCCACAGTTGAGACAGAACGTTTCTGCTAGAGCAAGACGAATAATAAGAGAAGCAAGCACCTAAGGGAAAAAGAAAAAGCACTCTTCAGAGTGTTTATAGAGAAACGATGCCTAATATGTTATTTTTAATGCCATTACAAACTGTGACTAAAGTCTACATAATTCACAAAATGATCATAATTAGATTTGAAAAAATACATTAAAACTTCAGGTTTGAATTGAAAGATCCCTTCTACAACATAACATTGGAAACATACCTGAGCAGTCAAATTCTCAAAATCCCAGAGCTATTGAAATTCAGGATTCCGGCCCAAGGTAAGAATGTTACAACATTGCCATCAGCATTATTCCTATACTCTGTTGAATCCCCATCATATTAGCAGGGAGATGGTGGAAATTTGTATGTGCATCAGTCAGCTTGAAATACAGAACTCCTGACTCCTTCATAAAACTGAAGATAGTAATTCGAACAACTTACAAACTAGTCTTGTATTAGCAGGCCTAATTGTGTTTTTATTAGATCTCATGAATTAGTGAAAATTACAGAACACTTGATGGAAACTGTGCTACAAAAAATACTTTCCAAAGATCATGACTGCTGGCATCATAGCACATGATCAAAGAATAATTCTCAGAATATAAGCTAAGAAACTGTGAACAAGTTTCACTCTCATTTACATAGGACTCTAGCATAACATCCTAGACTACTTTAGGAGAAGACATTTTTTGCCTATATTGCTGTTTTATATGAAGTTTTGGATTTCCCCCAATATTAGTATGGAATTTTCAAAACAAGTACACTTCTACACTCAGGTGGGAATTAATTTGACAGCATTTTTCACATTCAAGCAACAATACAGCACACATCTTCTCACAGAATATCCTTTCAAGACACTGGTGTTGCTGGACTCTATTGCTGGACTCTAGTGCTGCTATTGCTGGACACGCCTAAAAATACTGTGCACCATCTTGTTGTATTCCTCGATTTCATTTTCTGTTACTGTCAATACCATCTTGTCAGGCAAAAGTGAGAAGAGGAGATAGCTGAAGGTCTGGCTGCCAGTGAAACTCTGATGCAGTGTGTGACACAGTGAGAACTGCTACTCTTGGAGGTAAGGAAGTAGGCAGATATTACTCCAGATAATAGCGATTCTTCCTCGCTATCAAAGAGATTTATATCTGTTGCAACCATAGCCCTTTCAGCTGGTGCAGAGGAAAGGGAGACAAAGAGTTCCAGCTCCCACTGCAGAAGAGGAAGGAGAAGGTATCTCCCTCACAATTACAGTGTGCTTGGCCTAGGTAGTCATTGGCACCTTGTGCAAAGGCAACAGGCTCTGTGAGCCTGAAGTGTAGGGGAGAGTTCTCCAGGTGTTCTCTTTATGTTGTAGAAGGCACAAAGGATGGACAGAAATTGTTACAGCAAAGAAGTACTAAGAGCAGTCCTGGCGGTATTTCTGTCACTTTCTACGTCCATCTTTTTGGTGACACGAACCAAAAAGTTATTTATATTCAGTAGGAGGTGGGAGTAGCGTAATTTGGGGAAAAAAGAGATCTGAGCATACTTCAAAACAGACACAGTTGTGAAAAGATGACAAAGGATCAGCCCTTAAGAAGGAAAAAAAAAATTCAGGAGCAAGTTAATAGACCCACAGTTACGGGAACTTCAGATGTAACTAGCAAGAAGAAGACAAGATGAACTTGAGAAGGCGGTGAGGCTGAACCCTTCACACCTACAGACTCAGACCAATTGCCAACTGAAACAAGGAATTTGGACACCCCAAAATAGGGTTCGGACGCTCCCAATCATATGCTGCATACTGGCAGCATAATCCAGATGCAGTCAGATGTACAGAATGTAAATCTGAGTTGGAGCCACTTCTTTACCGGATTCATTTTACGATGTGTCACTCTTGCAGCTTTCAAAATCCTGTTTATGACGTACAAGAAAAAAAAGCTATATTACCTTTTGCCCAGCACTACATCTTCCTCTCATATCCAGTGCTGTATCTCCCTTTATCATTACTACTCTATAATTGTAGCTTCTTCTCTTATCAGCTGCTGAAACATTCTCATCTGCATCAGAGCGAATTTCTATATATTCAATATCTGAAAATGAAAAAGAAACAGTTTTTCCCTTATCAAAAGATCTTTAAAATAGCATTGGAATAAACATAATTGAGAGCTACAACATACGGTAACTACAAAAAAAAAAAAAACAACCACCTTACTCATAACTCCTACTAATAGATAAAAATTTGAAATTAATTTTTTCCAAAATTAAAGAAATAAGCCCAGGCAACTCCCCTGACTCAAGGAAACATCAACTATAGAAAACATGGAAAAGGGAAAATTACTTCTATTTATCATATAACTACCCACGTAACATGTAATAAAAAGGAGACTATAGTGGGGACCAACAGATGCAGCCTTCAGAATGGAACCAACCATTTTCATATCCTGGATTTTCCATAGTTTGAACAAACACTTTTCACTATCCAGTGCTCGGTATAAAATTAATATGGACAAAACTGTGAAAACAAACAAACAAACAAACAAAACCACATGTACCTTGTCCTCTGTAGGTATTTCTCCAAAGGTCACGAATTATTTTGTTAATTTCTTCCATCTTCATGCTATGAAATGTCATTATTGCTCTACAGAAAAAAAAAAATGCAGATTTTTATAGGTGCAACCATGGACTGCTATGGACTCATAGGAGCTTTAGGGAAGGCAAGAGCTCACTTTTCATTCTCTAAATAATTTGACTAAAGTTACAGTAACTACTAGTTCATTTTGAATGCAGAAATGTACAAAGATCAAACACACTCTGTTATGTGAATACTTCTAGTCTCACAAACAACTCCATCTCAAGAAGTAGGAGAGTAATAAAGACAAAATGATTTGTAATCAGTCACTCAGTAAAGTTTTTTTTTTAAAAGGAGATTTATAATTTATGTGTAAGGCATATTTTCAGACCTCCAAGAAGAATCTGATTATTAAAGCCTTCCAAAATAAAAATAGTGTTACTCATTGCCAGAGTCCCCCACCACCCTGCAGTGCAGATAACTGAGTCTCAGTAGGAAAGGAGAGCCAGTGAAGTTTCCTTGGAGCAGAGAATTCTCTATCAAGAATTTAATTTGTAATTACCTAAAGAGACGTTATGATTAGAGCTACTTTCAGTGGCAAGAGTAACATAGGGTGTCACTAATAATTTTTTATTTCATTTCCCTGATTCAGCATGATATCCTGAAACCATCATGTCTACATGTCTTCAGTTCAATAATAGATGATTCCTCGTAAAAGCATTCCAAAAGGACATTGTGCTACGTTTCTAACTTTTTAAACAAATAGTGCTTTGTAAGGGAAAAAAAAATGCTTGTTTGCTTTCTGCCAATGTTTTTCTTCCAAAAATATGGCAGTATTCAAAAGTAATTCTGAAACTGACTTCATATATATATATACACACACACACTTTTCCCATCTCCTCCCTTTTACAGGAATTATTTTCACCTGTTGTGAGGAATACTGAAGTCTCAACCCTAATATGATTTGTTTTGTTATGTCTGAATAATGAATAAAGCATTTTCTACTTGTTACTTGATTAAACCCAAGAATGCATTCTTCATGAATATTTAACAAAAAACTGTAAATATTAAATCAACAAAGATCAACAGATAGCACAGAAGAGCATACAAATGTTGCTTTTCCCAGCTACATACACAGCTTTCAATCTCTGGCCATTAGAGTTAACATTTTGTCTCACTGATTTTTCAGACGATTACCAATAAGTGATGCTTATCTATTTTTCTTGAAATTACAAGACTGATTTCCTGTTTTGCCTTAAATAGAAACAATAGATGATTTGATACCATACAAAAGATTCTGAATTCTAAAAGGGAAATTCTTGGAGTGCATTTCCATTTAAGCTGAAAGGGAAGAATTACACATGCTCTGTACAATTTAGATCTTCACAAAATAAATTTTGGATTGGCTTAAATTCAAATACTAACTATATTTATTTTATCATTAAAAACGATTAAAGCAGGGTACTCCAGACCTCTGCATTTAATAGCGTTTGAGACCTGTCTTTCTGAATTCATACAATCTTTTCAAATGCATTTAGAGCTTAGCCTCCAAATATACCAGTGAATTATGGGTTCCACAGCTTTATTATGTGTTGCCAGAAAAAGTACTACCTTGTATTTCGAACTACTGCTTGGTATTTTCACAATCATTCCCTTTTCCCCTTCTCCACACTATTCAAGAAATTAAGAAACCTTTAGCATCCCTCTTCAGTCACCTTTTTTCAACATGGGAACTTCTAATCTATTTAGCTTCTCTTCTGGAGAGTTATGTTGTACCTTTAACTACATTACTGCTCTCTGTGCTCCTTTTTCCAGACTTATTATGTCCTTTTTAACAGAGGAGACCAAAATTGTATTCTGAATTTGTAGCTTCTATGGTGGCCAGATACTTTTCTCTCATTCTCTATTTTGTTCCTAATACTCAACTTTTATTTCTAACTGCCACTGAGCACCAACCTAGTATTATTGCAGCTAGCTCATTGCAATTCCATAATTATAAGTGAACAATGCATGGGGGGGGTGGGAGAGAAGACAGGGAAAAGCACTGTATGTTGTCGTTCACATTTGTTAACAATCTTTGATGATTAACAATGGTGATGTGTTGGCTTCATTGCTCTATTCTCTCTCTCAATTTGACTTGTTGTATTGCAATTGTGTCCTAACATGTACAACCAGTACTCAAAAAAGGTCCCTCATTTATTTTATGTACATTATATACATTACAGAGTTCCTATACTCTAACAATCCTGTGCAGTTTGCAGCACATTTTCATTAATTTACTTTGCTTTTAGGAATCAGTTCTCTTCTGGAGGCATTAAAAAATAACAAATCCACGGCAACTGGACTTTTGGGATGAATATAAAAAACAATAGAAGTAACATAGCAAGGTACAACACTCTATCTTAATACTTAGGTATCTGATTTTATAAAGAAAAATAATTATGTACCTCTAAGTTACATTAATTTACTATTTCTAAAAGTTAAACCAGGATGTTTGAAATTGCAAGTTGCTTTTGCACCAAGGCAGTAATGAAAACTGAAAAAAAGAATTATCCTCATACGACAGTACTTACTTATCAAGAGCCTTGTAATAAGTGTCCAAATCCTTGTTCAATAGCTCCGTTGTTCTCATAACAATCATCATCTCCCTGTATTTTTCCTCTGCATCTTTGAATTGTGACTCTCGAAGTTCCTTTTTAAACCGAACAATCTCTTCCTCAAATCCACGCTGTCGGCCAAGTGCAACATGATGGTTTCTTTTCAGAGCTTCTATTTTCTCCTCTAAATTTTTTTGTTCACTGTCAAACCACAAATGATACATGAGACTTCTGTATTTAGTGTTTCGCTATATTTTAGTCAAGGTTCTAATTTTTAGTTTACGTTAGCAGCTCATTCTATTGTGTATACAGATTGCAACAGTTAAAATTACTGGAACTAAGACATATTTAAAATATGCTTATGTTTATTTAAGCATACGTTTATTGTTTTTATAAGCAATATAACATATTAAATTTTAAAAACATATTAAAGTCACCATTCTGACTAATATTCACTAATCCTATCAAAGATGAAAGTGCACCCTGTAGAGGTATAAATTAGATTTAATTGCAGGAATTACATCAGGATACTGAGCAAAAAAATGCAATGAATGGTCTGGTAGCATCTAGAAAGCTACATAAATAGTTTGCACATAAGAAGCTGAATTAGGATAATTCCTTTTTATCAGTGTTTATTATCTAAACAATTAATATTAAAATACTGAAATGATTTGCAGCTGAGACCTATTTGAGCACACTGAAGATAAAACACTTTTATCCAGAGACATCAGTTTCTTTTTAAATACAGACTTAACAGTGGAAGTCTTTAAAACAAACGGATTAGATTTGAACAGGTATATACTTGTGTGTATTTGTAGCTAGAGCTACATAATTTCACTGAGTCATTTATGTTGTCATGGGAATATTATGCAAACACAAGTTTGAGGGAGGAAGTAGTCTACATGAATGGGGAGAAAGGTATACACTAAGAACACAGGAAACACTAAAACACAGTGAGTATTATATTCAGATATTTAGTGAATTCTTACGCAAAACACGCTGCTGTGTTTTGAAAACGCTTACTTTTTCATCTGCGGGACTTTCATTTCTCCCATCTCCTTCATAAGTCTATTTATATTGTCTTCAACTTCTTTTAATTCTTCATTCCGCTTCCTCAAAGTCAGATTATCCTCTAGCCACCTTTCCTGTATCTGTCTCCACAGAAAGCAAGAAGTTCTATGATGTTTCAATATATCGATGCTCAATAACAAAGTATAAACTCTGCACAACTCTAAAACCTGCTACAAGCATAAAACAATTGACAGCACTGAAAAGTACCATAGTAAGAACTCACTTTGCACTAGAACCTAGTATAATGCAAATCATGATTATCATTTCATATTTCAACCTGAAATAATATTTACAATATTTACTGTCATAGGTGAACGTAAGAGTGATCCTGTGTGTGAACAGTAGTCGGTGGTTCAAATGGGGCAAGTCATTTGGGGTGAGATTTCACATTTTCCCCTATTCTCAATTCTACAGGTAAGATAGTGGGATAGAGTGGGGAAAGATATCTTTCCTATAAAGAATGTAAATAGGGCTTGAAATACATACATAATGATTTAAAGCACACAACAAAATCTGGAGTGACTAACAACTTTTGGGACCTGCAATTAGAATCACCTCACAGCGGTCTTCTTTCAGTAGATAGGTATCTTCCACACAAAGCTAGTTTTGAAAACAGTGGTTATTGTCACAACAGACTTACCCCTTTAGGAAATACCACAAAATTGTACTTAGAGATAATTCTTTTTTCTAAAATGCATCAATTTTTGCATATGTAAATCACAGGATTTTTTTCAGCCTGATGCACATATAGCGGCTATTCTGACTAACAACTCATTAAGTGCATCAAGAGGAGACAAACTTTGTATCAATATGAGCCTACACGGACTTAAACCAATGCCAGAAATCACTTCAGGTATAAATGCAAAATATACCTTATGCTAAAACAATAAACCTACCTTTTGAGTGTCAATATCTTGTCGAATAATTTCCATCTCTTTACTTATCTTTTCCTTCTGTTTCTCGCAGGCAACTAATTGAGAGTTTACTTCATCAAGTTCAGACTCCTTTTGCTACAAAAATAAAAAGGTATATTATTTATATACAAAAACACTTTTAAAAGCACCTTTTTATTGATTGCTTTTTAGGTTACCTTCTTGTAGTCTTCCTTTCCTTCTTGAATATAGCTTTCGATTTCTTTCATGTACTTGTTTATATCTTTAACTTTCTCTTTTATGGTATTTATCTGCAGCGAAAAGATTTCAAATGAATTGCAGTCAGATGTCCAAGAACTGATGTGACATGTATAAAAGATAACTGTTATCACACTATTTCTAAGGTAGAATTCGTTTCATAACTCCCTTTAATTTACCAACAAAAGACTTCAACTTTTGAAATCCAGGTGCTCCTTATTACCGTGAAACTGTTTTCCAAAACAAATGGTAAATCACTCATTTGTGCTTACATAAGAGGGCCATTTCCCCTGAGAAAGACAGGTGTGTCTCTTGCCAAGGAAAGGTCACAACCATAATTGCTGTTCCTCTAGACCTGCTAGATAGGGCTTTTAGCACTACAGATCACTAAATATTGCCAAATGTCCCTAGAAGCTTTTTGATAAGACCACTAAAAGTTAGTTACAACTGAGTTGATTTCCTGACTTGGTTATGTTCCTTTTCTTCCCTAAAAGCTCCACAAATCTAAAGCATTAGGTAAAGCAATTGCTGTCTCCTAAAAGTCAACTCATTACCATGACTTCCACCCATGCCCCAAAACCAGCATGTAATCCTATCTCCCAACTATGTCAAATGCAAACAAACCTTCTCTTGTGTTTCTTTATTAGTTGCAGTCCTTTTATTAATTAGATCCTCCTTGTCTTGCTGCAGTTTTTCTAAAGTTTCATGTAGGGGAAATACCTGTTCTTTTGCTTCCTGAAAAGCAGTTGGAGAAAGTCCTTTTTATTTTCTCATTCTGTCAAAGATAAACAATTTTTCAAGTGCAAAAAAAAAAAATCATGTGCGTACTTAATTTTTTTTTTTTACATCTTGTTCATTACTCTGAAAAAAGTTTTATATTAAATAAAGTGCTGAAAATTTCCAGAGATATGCATAGTATAACAGGACAAAAGTTTTAAAATGCATCTGAATTGCTAGGATTACAGAATGTTAAATATTACTGGATTCTTTGTTTTTCAAGGACAACATAGTTAAGGGCTAGTAATTATTTCCTACCTTAATCTCTCTATGTAAGGACTGAAACTCAGTGGTTAATTCCACTATTTGCTCCTCCAGTTGTTGACGACGCTGCATGCTGCTGGAAATCTGAAGTTTCTCTGCTCTAAGTTCATTAACTGTACTCTTAAGCTGCTGAATCTGATTCTGCTGGTCTTGCTTGATTTTTTGATTTAACTCAATTTTACTAGTAACTGTAGATGAAAATACACACGCAGTGAAACAGTTGATCTGTAACTAACAACATTTTTTGTCTTCCTTATGACAGATCTAACTGCAAACTAAGTTAATATAATCAAAAAACAAACAAACAAACAAAAACTATTAGAATACGGTTATTTTGAATGTAAAATAAGTAAACTAAAATTATATTTTACTGGCAGCAAGCTTGATTATTTTCAATATAAAAACAAAACATCATTTTATATGACCTACCTGTATCCCATAAGTGTTTCTTCTCTTGTTTTTCTTGGCTTACTTGTAGAACAGTTCTACTTAAATCGACCCCTAGCAGCTTAGCCTCCTGCTGAGCAATTTTTCTTTCAACATCCCTAATATCAGCCTAAAAGTAAGAGTAAAGCCCTATTATTACTGTATTAGTGCTTAACAGACTTTAGTTTATATGTTATTGAATAACTACATGTACAGCAAGCAAGTATCGTTTTATATATCGAAAGGAATTACAGAGCATACCTGGTACCTTTCCATTAGTGTTATGTCCTGTAAACATGCATTAGCACCTTCCTTCTCAGACAGAACTGTCTGCAGGAGTGTTTCCTGCTCTTCTATCTCACCCTTCAGGCGTGCAAAATCCCTGTTCACAGTTTGCAGCTTGTTCCTCAAGTCTGGTATGTCCCTTTCTTGGAGTTCCACTACTGTTTGCCTTGAATAAAATACAAATCCATGAAACTTCCTTTGTTAAAAGCAGCAGCATAAGTTCAAGACATTCAAGTTTGCAAAATCTGTGATATGACTGAATAGCAGAAGACTGAATTGAACCAATAGTATCCCCTTAAGCTTGCCCATGTTCAGTTGAGTTTATGTTATATAACCAGCTAAGGTAATAATCCCTCATTGTAGGCAGGTGAGATCTAAACACAAACCAACCAACAAACCTCTTCCGGTTTTCAACTGAACTACAGCCAGTGCTAAAATAAAATCCACTGCGCACGAGTGCCCTCTTGTGAAAGAGAGGTATACCTTCTAACATATATTCAATTTTTTTTCAGAATAACAGTCTTCAAATACTTTGAAACCAGAGCCTCTGGTTACCCACTGACAGGGAAACTGCATGCTCTACTCTAAATCCTGTTTGTATGGTAAAGAAAAAAAAAAATAGGACTCTCACAAAAATTCATTAGGACTAGTGCTGTTTATGGTTTGGAGGGAGGCAACAAGAAGAAAAAAGGGGACACAGCAACAAAATAGTCTGCCTGTAATTTTCGTAGTTTTAAAATTACAGATTAAGTGAGCCTGGGAATTGGAAAAGACTGTAAGAACCTCTTCTCTCTTTTTTTTTTTTTAAAAAAAAAACATTGTCTACATTTTTTTTTTTTACATTGCAACTTCAAAAATATTTTAATTAATTAAAAACTACATAAGAGATCTAATACAGTCTAATCTTTTATGGATTGTCAGTATCAGACACAGAGCTGAATTCCCAAATGATGGAATTCCACTTGACCGAACCACAAGAAAACACAGACTGCATTGGGAATCTGCTATAAATCTCACAGACTTCCTTCAAGAACATCATAAATGAATACTAAACCTGACAGTAACAAAAAAGTACCTTTAAAGGATATATAAATCAAGATTTATTAAAGTGCAGTTAGATTTTTGAACAAATTGCCTAGCCCGAAAATAAACCTTTCTTGATGTCAACAAAATTTTCAATAATCAAAAAACAAGCATTCAAAAGAAAATGACTTGCAGCAATATTGTCTGTGAAGTACTTTACCTAATTGGTTTAAGACCCATCATTTCATCACGTTTTTTCTCTCTTCTTTTAAGCTCAGACTCTGTTGACTTCAATTTGTCTGGTGCAAGACGCAACTTAGACTGAAGATCACTAATTACATCTTGCAGTTCAGCCTCTGTTTGAAAAACTCTTTGACAAACTGGACAACACGACTGGTTCTCTTCTGTTAGTTGTGTAATGAACTGTGAATAAACTGCTGTGGCTCCAGCAAGCACAGCTAGTTTAAAGAGAAACAGAAGATGTTATGTTGAATATACAATGCATAATCAGATCTAAACTTATTATATATTTACCATTAAAAAACCAACAAATGAAAGAAAACTATAAGCTGCAAATCATCAAGATAGGAAACTAAAATGGTCCTAAGCAACCTGGTACAAATTCAGCTCTGTCCCTGTTTTCAGAATGGTGCCCTTGATCACAGCCTGACATTCTCTCCAAACTGAATTTTTCTATTTTATTGAACTACTACTCATCCCTCAGCAATTAACAATTGAAACAAGTACTTGTGAATCTCCTTCTGGAGTTACTTTCTTTCAGTTAGCAGTAGGCCCTATGGGCCAAAACCATGCCACTTGTCTAGTTCTGTACTCATCTTCATAACTGGCAGATTCAATCATTCAAACATATCCTTGGTTGTGTAAGGGTCGTGATTTACATTTTTGTTTTGTAAAGTCAGTATTTCATTCACATACAATAAGAGATTTAACTGAGTTAAAACAACTGATTTTGATTAAACATGAAATTGAAGACTTAGTAAAGATAGGGGAAATTTGTTTAAAAGGGAGGTTATTACTGAATCTTAAATTGGTTTCTATGCTGATTGTCCTGCAAATATAAATATCCACAAGTTACAGACTGTCTCAGTGTCTCTAGGTTACAATTAAAATGAGGAAAAAAGTAGAGCTATGGATAAATTTACCTCGCTGTTTTGAACTTTTTTCAATTTCATCTTGAAGTTTGTTCAGGTTACTGTCAAAATCTTGGCTTCCACAAACATCAAAAAGTTTTGCTTCATAGCTAGACAACTGTTCTTCTTTTCTTCTTAGTTCAGCACTGATAAAATTCTTCTGTTGTTCTGCTGATGCCAGTTGTTTGCTGAAACATTAATGAATAAAATCTTATATTACAGAAAAACAACAACAAAAAAAACTGTATTAACAAAAACACCATAATACCAATTTCAGATTAACTTCAGAATTATTCATCACTTCTTTAATGATTTTTCCAGAAATCTACAGCATAAGTTTTCAATTCATCTAAACACAGCTTAAAGTGTTTCATTTAAATTCCTTTTTCTGCTTTCTAGACGCTTAATGAGGAGAAACAAATTTCTAATGTCAAATCCATACAAGGGACTTTCTAGAATATCATTAACGTTTCCTCTTCTACTTCCTTCCCTAATTATTGCTTATGAGATACTATTGAACAAAAAATGTTATTGAGCAAAACATATTGAGCAAAAAACATTAGCACCCTTCTATTCATCTTCCATACTTCTCAATTGTGGACTGTTCTTAGACCTCAAATCTCATTTTTTCGATTTTATAGAAGTTTAATGCATATCGCTGCACAGTGTGCTGATGTCACCTAATCTTTCTGACATATTCTTTTCTACAACCAAATACATGTAAATCAGGAACATGTATCCATATCACAAATAAGTTCATGATATGGTTAATAACCATTCTGTACCTCCTAAGAAAGTCAGAAGACTCCTGTCTTTTTTTCCCCAAAGCACATTCTTTCACATTCACAGCTAGGGTAGTATAAATAATTAAGGATATATTAGAATATTTTGTTACCTGCTTTTAGTGTTGCCTCTGACATACTTCAAATATGATGATTTTATTAACTACCATGAACTATATTGGCTATATATTAAACAAATTTTGCACAATGCTTTCTTTCATTTTGCAGACACCTAAATTAATATTGATGAATTACAGTAAAAGTATGTTAACTATATTAAAAACTTTCCAACACTGAAATTCATAATTGCATAAATACTTCTGGAGACATAATTAAACTAATACATACTTAAGCTTGGCATGTCTGTCCCTTGTTTCATTAATCTCTCTATTTTTGCCATGGAGCCAGTCTTCAAGTTGTTTTTTATTTGGAAAGTACCCCAGCAGTAACGTCAGTTCTTCAGAATGTCTTGATTTTACTTTTCTAATCTGTTCCTCTTTGTCTGCCTTGGGAAATAAAGCATTTAAAATTTCACATAAAAACATATTCATATATTAATGTTCATATAAACATATTTTCATATGTTTAAGTTTATGTCACTCAATGCATTCACAGAGTTAATGGCTTCCATAAAGCCAGACAGAAGCTTTACATACAAATGTTTATAAACATCTGGAAAAGAAATGCACGAATCTTGAAGGGACTGTATTCATGTAATTTCCCTTCCTTATGAGATGATGATAGAAAAATTACTTTGTCTTTCTTCAGCATCTCCATTTGGGTAATTGTTGTGGTATGTAGGTTCAACTGTTCCATCTCTTGATCCAGCTTCCGAAGAACTTTTGTCCAGGTTTATTTTCTCATTTTGCAGAGTTTGCACTTCCAGTTCAAGTGTTTCTACATTGCTGCTCCTCTCAGCCTTCTCCAGTTCATGTTCCTAATCAAAAAACAAAAGCACAAAAGACTTATGCAATTACATTAGACAATAAGTTCCTAACTAAAGAAATCAGAAAAAAAGCTCTTAAAAACTGTCCAGCAGCAGTATCATTAGCTGTTACAGGAATAATACTTCCAGGATCTATAAAGAATACATGCACGATGCCAAAGGCTGTGATGCTGGTATAGGAAACATAAAGCAGACAATGGATGCAGAGTTCTGAAATACAATACTGTATCAAGTTGCTCATGCTTTTCACAACTTGTAAAAACTTTCAAACTTGTAGAAATCTTTAATTACATTAACTTACTGTCTTGACAATCTCTTCATCCAATTCCACAATTCTGCCTGATGACCCCTCCAACTGCTGCAATTCATGTTTTACATTCTTCAGTTCTGCTTGTCTCTTATATTGGATATCTGATTTCAGATCAATGGTTCTTTCTAATCCAGTTTTCTTATCTCTTATTTCATCTATCTGTTTTTGTTTCATCGCTTCTTTTTGTGCAAATTCTCTCTGAAAGAAGTGAACAATAATATATTAATTCACTCACAGGAAAAACACAGCATTTAAAATGGCTTCTTACAATAGTATGCAAATATTCACCATTTTAATGCATGAAATTGAAATATTTAGATACGTAAAAAAAAATCCCGCTAAAATGCAGCAATACAAAAATGCAGATGCATAATGGTAGTGTTGTCTGACAGCAACTCCATTTTGAAGATGACTTCAAAACAACATTGCTTGTTTTCTTAACAATTGCCCATTGAAATTCTTCCTCAGGCTTTTTAGTGTCACTGACCCACCTGCTTGAGATGGCGGTTGAGAAAAAAGTATCTGCAGAACTGCCTGTTCAGTAGCTTTTGCAATTCAGATCACCCAATGACCACTCTTAGATCCAAAATTAACTTTCACAGAAATGTTCAAGCAAGCCATATTGAAGAATACTAGATGAAAAAAAAATGGCTTCATTTATTTTCCCCCAGGACCATAAAGACACATATGGACTAATAATAGACTAACAAGTAATATGGAATTATAACACAATCCTAAAATGACAAAATCCTTACCATTAAGTGATTTGCAGTTTCTGTATCTCTCGCTTGTCTCTCCTTCAATAACCTGTGAAAATTGGTAATCTGTCTTTCATTAAGAGGTGATAGCTCAAAACCATCTAATTCTAGCTGTGCTGCCAAAGACTGAATTAATGAATCCCTCGTTTTGATGTGTTCTTGGTGACGATCTGCTTGCAGTTGTAGACGACCTGCACAAAAATAAAATAAAATTTAAAAAAATAACATAACCCCTCAAGAAATGAGAACATACATTTAGGATTCAAGGTCAATTGCAACTATTTCCTTAAGATCTTCTACACTGAACCATTTTGGTAGACCTGTGCGGTGTCAAGAGTTGGACTTGATGATCCTTAAGGGTCCCTTCCAACTCAGGATATTCTATGATTCTATGATTTAAAGTGTTAAAAACAAGCTATAGCTTAAAATATTACTGTTTCTGTTAACTATTGATTATATAGAAATAGCTATTATATAAATAAATTATATAAATAACTATTAATTATATATATTAAAATCTGTGTTTAAACTACTACAATTTGCTTTACTGCAATTCCCACAGTCCATCTAAAAGAGAATATATGATATACAGAAGAGTACCGTCCTAAAGCCCTCTGAGTAGTCCCCAGCCCTCACATGTGAGGGTGGGAGTGCCAAGGATTCTGCTTTCACAGGTTTCTTGGTTACACTTACACAATCACAACTGGCTAGCAGACATTTTCATCACTTAGACAAAGTACAGGCTCAGACTGTGAAAACAAATGTGCTGTAAACTGCTAGACTGACATAGTTTTATGGCATCAGTAATGATCAGTTTTGAATATTTCTATAGAAGATGGTACACTTAAGAACAAACAAACTTCATGTTGTAATTACAGTTCAAAACAAGCACATTAAAAAAATAATCTAGGGTAAAGATGTTGAGGTTTGATTACCTGTGAGATTCCCCACACCATGTCGTGCAACTGACCTAAAACTCACACGCATTTCAGGGAGTTTGTCCCATTCAAACATCTTCAATTATCAGTAATTCTATTTCAGATCTTAATTGCTTTAAACATAAATACAAAGTTATAGATCACATCTAACATACCTCGTTCAACGAGTAGTTCTGACTTTTCACTGTTAAACCTCTGGCATTCTTTAATGGCCCTATCTAATTCACGCTTACAGTCTGATAATCTCTTCTCCTTCTCCTTCACTGTTCTCTGGTGGTTCTGGTATCTATCCCTTAGCTGTTCATCCGTTCCTTGAAAAACCTGTACACCAAATAAAATACAGAATAAACTTAGCTTTTTAACTGGATTCAGTTAAAAATAACCTAATATTTATAAACAACCTGTTATAAATAATGTAACGATGTTAAAAAAAAAGAAGTACAGGCTTTACCATAACAGAATCCAAGAAATAAGATAACACCTTCCATATAGAATTCCTATGCTAAGACTTACATTAAGAAAAATCAAACATACTATGAGCAAAAACTGAAAAAAAAAATATTTTTCATATGCTGATAAGACAAGTTCATCTAAATTTTTACTATTCTAAAGAATTTTTGCTCATCTGTCAAAATAATTTTAAACGCCCCTGCACAACCACAACAAAAGAATAAAAACTATTTACTATTTTAAGAAAAAGAAATAAAAAACCCTCCAGGGACATGAACAGAATCAGTGTCAGAAGACATTCCATGCTGGCTAAAACAAGCGCTGGCTATCACGAACATATTGTGAGAGGTAGGTATTTTCAAGTTCCACATTGCAGGGCATTATTACTGTAACTTTTGTCAGTATTTTTCTTCCTGGCAAGCTAATCTATGGTGGAGGGATCAGTTACAAACAGCAGTTTAACTCTTACATCCGAATTACACAGAAACTAGCTACAAATAATGTTCCATAAAGCTGCGTATCTCATATTATCAAATGAGCTACTTGGCCTTTGGAAGTGTTCATAACCAGCATCTAGTGTATAATAAAATACACAGTTCACATGGAAGCAAAAGGCAGACTTTGATTTTTCTGCAGAAAGGATGACAACATGGAATTTAAAAGGCAACCTTTTCCATCTTCTGTTGCAGGTCTTGATTATCCTTATCCATCTGCCTCCTCCTGCTCTCCAGAGCTTTTACGTCGTTGTCTAGCAACATTACTTTCATGAGATTCTTTTCAACTGCTGCCAGAGAACACTGCAAAGGAAAGGATCATAGAATAATAGAGTCATTTAGGTTGGAAGAGACCTTAATATCTCACTAGTTTACAAATCCCATAATAAAATGTTCTATACAACACTTTACTCTAAACTGTAAAACTTCACCATTATTATTTTGAAAAAAAAAATCATTTAGCTTTAGTTATAATTCATGATAGTTTTATAGTTAACATACAAATTTGAAAGACATTTTAAATTAAGCTACAAAACAAACAAACAAAAAAAACATCAGTGCTGTTACAACAGTTCCACAGACAATGTTTTAAACCTCCCATAACTGTTTACAGATTAGAGCAGCATCTGTCAGGTTTGTTGCTTAATTCTGCCACAGAATAGAAGGTGAGATAACAACCTAAAACTGCAAGATTTTAATCAGGAAATTCCTCCAGCTTTGAAATGTTGCTGTGTTCCTTTTTTTAAAAAACAAAGAAACAAACAAAACTTATGTGCTGTTTTATACTAAAATTTTAATGTAAACATCACACAAACTACCTTTAAAGGATCCAGCTGACTCTCGATAGATTTTACATTCTCCTTAGAAGCAGACAGCTGAGCTTCCCTATTGTTAAGATGGTCCTGGATTTCCTGTGCTTTTTCTTTATTCTGCTTTAGGTACTTCAGCTCTGTCTGACACTCTTTTACTTTTAGGCTTTGTTTCAGTCGTACCTGACGGAGAGTTTCCAGTGCTTTAATATACCTTAAAAAAAAAAAAAAAAAATAAAAAAAAATTCAGATCCTACAGGCAATACAGCAATACTGATGCCACAGACGTTTTCTTTAACACCTACACTACTAGAGAAGACAGTTTCTTATTTAATTTTATTCAATTCCAGTAAAGAGAAAAACCTTGTTGCTGAGAAGATCTCATCAAATCTTTGTTTCAGGGCCTTCCCTTCGCTTAATGGCCAGTTGGACTCTTCTTGGTGGCAGAAAACAACATTGTTGAGCACAGATTTGGAAACACCAAGGGCACTGATCATCTCTCGATCAATTTCTGCACACTTGGAACTGAGACTGACCTTCTCACCATGCCTATGTAGCACAGATAAAGAAAATCCACAAAGCAGTTACTAGAAATTCTTTAAAAACAAACAAACAAAAAGCTTATTTAAATCTGTATAAGCACATTCTATTGCATTGGTTACAAAACAGAGTAACAGTTTTTTAAGTCTACAATTACCATTTTAACAGCAAATGTTTTCAGTCAATGTTGCTACATGTTAAAAAAATCTATGCAGAACCACCAGAGGGAGTAAGACTGATCTTGTTTAAAGCCAAGTGAATACATTTCTTAAAAAGGGGAAACTGAAGGTAAACATGGACTGACCATATCCTGAAACTTAAAATGGTGCTAAAGGAAATAAAGCTTATGCATTTCAAACAAGATTACTTTCAAACTAGAGCATCAGTAATACAATTTTCAAATTAATGTAAGTCAACTGATATACGTAGCTCTTAGTATAGTGGCTATCAAATGTTAGTATTTTTGAATCAACTAATAGATCGAACAATGGAACTCCAGACCTTCCATCTAAGAACACAGGCAGGAACTTCAGAGAGCACGTTATGAATTTTTCTCATCTTATACATAAAACATACAAAACCCAAACTGATCTTCACATTACAGAAAGAAAGAAAAAAAAAAGATATAATTAAACTTACTTTGTTCTAGTAATGACCCCTTCAAGTGTTTTAAACTCTGTTTTCTTGTTTTTCTGGGTACACACCATGGATCGTTGGACAGCTACAAGCTCTCCATTAACATCTCGAAACTGTAATCGAATCTGAGCTCTAACATCAGTTTCATGGGCAACCTTCAGTACAAACGACAACAATGAAACAAGTATGAGAAATTCTTCTCAACACCCAGAGGAATACATGACTTCCCAGATGTGGAGTGTTCCAGTCCCCCCAGTTCTGTTTTTCCTGAGACAGAATGGTCAGCTCACAGTCTGCCTAATACTTGAGCATCCCTGTTTTCATCACAGCCCTGCGTGAGTACAGTAAGTATTTTACTGAGGAGTAAACGTGCACTAAATCTGACCACTGTGGCTTTTACCTTTGGATCATGAACAAATGAATTTCCTTTGGTTCCAGGAGGAAAATCTCCAGTGGACACATATTTAAGGCACTCAATGATAGTCTAAGAAAACAAAAACAAGTATATAATTAGAATGACGATTAAGAATAACCAAGGAAGACTAAAAACAAAACACAATGACAGCCTAAACATTTACAAATAAGATAAACATGAAGGGAGAGAGAAATAAGAAATGACACTTTATTTTTCAGTACCATGAGAACACGGTACTTTGCAAAAACAGTTTTAGTCAGCACCTTGATCAATTTCCGATGAAAAACACCAAGTAGCGCCCTGCAAAGCCCAGGATAAGAAGCAGATCTCTAATAACGTAAGCCAATACAATATTTACAGTAAAGAGCAAGGTTTTTCTAATATTCATATCTTGCTATTAAAATCATTTTTTATATTTTCAAGGCTTTCAGAGTTACTTGGTGCACAAAGACCATCACGTAAGTCTTACCGTTTTTCCCTGCACCATTTGGTCCCACCAGAATAGTCATTGGATTATGGAAAGTGATAATCTGTTTGTCTTTATCCTCTATGCCAAAACTCCTCACGCCGAGGATGCTCATTTTCTCAATCCTTGCCATTTCTGCGGAATTTCTGCTCTCCCGCAGTCAGCAACGCAAACCCTGTAAAACAAAGCTCTGTGAAAGTTAGAGACGGCGAAATGTCCGCGTATCCCTGAAAGGTGACCACAGGGTTATTTCAGTGTGTGCATTGTCAGAAACACTCCAAGGTTCCCCAGTTCTGGCTCAAGGCACAGGACGCGTGAAAGCCAAACCCCCTCAGCGCTGAGGAGCTCGACTCAAACCTCAGGGCCAGGCCACGCCGTTTCCCAGCCATTCAAAAATAACAACAAAAAAGCCCTTTAAGTACCAGTAAGAGAAAAGCGCTTTATGCCACTGCCCCTTGTTATGCATGTTTTATTTATCGTTACTTTCTATTCCCCGCTTCTCAAGGCGTCACGGCCCAGCCCTGGCCCGACACGAGGCAACCCCCGGCGGCAGCGGCCCGGCCCCACGGCCCCCCCTGCACCTCACACGGGTGCTCGGGGACCCCCGGGGACCCCCGGGACCCTCAGCGGGGACCCTCGGCCGTGCCATGAGGCACCCGGGGCGTTTCCCTGAGGGGGGCAGCCGGAGTTTCCCGCTGCAGCGGGGGCGGACATTTTCCAGCTACCCTTCCTCTTCCCCAGCCGAGGGGCGGCCAAGGCGATGCCGTCCCCACCCCCCCTCACTGCTCCCCCCCTTCCAGCCCCGTTCACCTCCGCTCCCGGTGCCGTTCCCGGCCCCCCGGCAGCCCCCGCGGTCGCCCCCGCTCCGCCCCGGCTGTGGCGGCTCCGCCCGGCCGGGCCCGGCTCGCTACCGCCCCCCGGCGCTGTGGGGCCGGGTGGGACAGGGCCGGGGCTCCCCTTGTCCCTCGTCCTTCTTCGGGTCCCACCCCGGCCTCTGAGGGGCGAGGGGGAATGGGCAGCCCTGAGGGGGCAGCGCTGAGGGGGCAGCCCGGTTCCACTCCGCTCCCCCAGCCCCGCCGCCCCACAGAGGTCTCTGAGGGGTCTCCCCTGTGGCACGCAGTGGCCCCCACCTCCTGTTGAGGGGCTTTTAAGAGTTCACAGTTCTAACATTGGCACTTCGGAGTTATTTGGTGGTGTTTCCAGCCTTCTGCTCAGAGCCCTGCTGCGCTGTGCATGGCGGCACAAAATTGTGGCCTGCTTCAAGGCTGGCCCGTGCTCTGCTGGACCCCAGCTCCAGCGTTACGAGCAGGAACGGAGCCTTCAAAGCCTTCAAAATTCAGAGAGCCAAGTGGCAGCCTGCTCACGGAAACCTCCATACCCGCTCAGCGGTCCGGCTTGGCGCTTCAGGCTCAGGCCGGGTGGAGGAAAACCACATTTCTGCCGCTGGGTTTGATGTCCACTCACTCTGCCCATTACGCACTGCGGAATCAAACCCAGCGCGGGATAAATGACCGCAGCGCGAAAAGGCAGCACGGCATCATCAGGGCTGAGGCAGAGCACAGGTGCACACTGCAGCCATGCCGGGCGAATTAGTAATGTGCATGCTAGAGAGTATTTCCAGTGGTAGCATGAGTACCCGGGGCTGTGGGTGAGCGGTGGTTCACCATGACGCTGGTGGTAATGTAAGCATGATGCATCCCTCTCTCACAGCAACAGACGAGAGTCAGGAAATGGTTTTCGAGGCTGTACTATACAGCCTGGTAATTCACCGTACTTAGTAGGAAATCTAGAGTACTAACTGCAAAAATTCCACGTCATTCTCTTTGTGCTTTATGCAGGAAAAGGATGAAGTGTAGTCATCTGTCTTACTGTAGGATTACTCCATTTAAGTTCAGTTTGGGGGAAACTTTCATTGAAATCCCTATAAAAGCACTAACCAGGGAAAGAATGACTAATTAAGTGGCATGAGATGGTTTTGAAGCTCATGTCTCATCTGGGACCAGAGACGTATTGAGAGTACAGACAAGTGCTATTACAGCAGATTAAACGTGTGAGGATCCTCTGCTGCGTCCCCACAAGAACCGCTTCCCTTGCCCAAGACAATGCTTGCTCGCAAGGTACTAACCCTCATACTTCAGCTTTCCGCTTTAGAAATTCAGTACAGATCAATTCAAATACCCTTACGATTCACAGATTATCAAACGCAGACAGATGGTCTCTCATCAAGTAGAAAAGTTTTAATTGTAGGAATATAATACTTTTTTTCCACACTTTACAGCTATAGTCTCTACAAATTGTTGGAAATAAAATACAAACAATTTGTAAAGAAACTGTATTGCCTGCATTACCAATCCAACTTTTTAATTTTTGTCTTGTGGATTGACAGTTGTCCTGCACAAAGATGAATTTTATTGGAGTTATCAAAATGTGAAAATAAATTGCAGCAGCTTTTTACATTAAGTGAAGAAAATCTTCCATTGTTCCATGGAGAGCTCAATAGCAGCTGAGCAAAAGCAACTTCGTGCTACCAGGTGACTAATTATAGCAATATATATTGAATATGGAATAGCAATAGAACAGCACTAAAAACAAAACAACAACCAAACAAATAAGCCAAAAAGAAACTCATTTTCCTAATTAAATTATAACATAAGTAGAAATCATACAGAAATGCCACCTGTATGCAACCAAAGGGAGATTGTAAAATAATGTAGTTGAAGTTCTATGCAGTCATCTGCCCCTAAGTCTGTTTTACTTGCTTATAGTCACAGTGTTAAGTCTGAAATGTTGGTGTTTTTTAAAATTATTTTTAGAAAAAAATAGAGGAAAAAGAAAAAAAGAGAGGAAATAGAGGAAAAAAGAAAAAATGAAAACAGACAATGCCTGTAGTAAGGATGCATGTTGTAGGTTGTTTAACATATGTCCTGTTCTCAAAAGCAAAATAAGTAGTTAGGAAACCCTCACAAAATGGTGCAACTGGAACAATTAAACTGGAAAAGTGTACAATATGCATGTCCATTATTGGATGAATTGGATTCATCCAATATTGGATGTCCATTATTGGATGTCCATTAATGACAGAACCTGCACTGCAAGAGCAGATGTTTCCATTGGTGTTTACTAGGATGAGGAAGTAGAAGTTCAAATCACTACAAAATGTGTAATATATTTCTTACTCTGAAAAAAACGGGCAAAGGGAAGATAACCGCTTCCCCTACAATAAAAAAAATAAAATAAATAAAATTAAATAAAATAAAATAAAATCAAGTGCTTCTGGTTAACTCCTCAACCACTACCTATCGACTTTTCTGTGTACCCATGAATTCTTTATGTTGTTCATTTTCTGACATTTATGATCTGAGGATAGTTTGTTAAATACTTTCAACATTCCATCCTGTCCTGGAAAAGAATCTGAGCAAAAATTCCGGACATAAGGAAAATCCAAAATTCTAAGCCACATCTAATTTTTTCAACTAACCTTTCTTTTCAATAATGAAATGGTCAATCTCTCACAATGTTATGTCACCAAATAATGTTGTTAATAATGATCTCGTGCACAAAGTGCATAAAAAAAGGTAATCTAATAGGGTATCGTATAGATAATATAATGTATCAAGAGCTGTATATCATCAGATCTAGCAGATGCGGTCATTAGACTCCAGCTGTTGTGCAGCTTGTGCCATCAGGCACTGGTTTAATCAGAGGTTACTCAACCATGAACACTTTGTGTCTGCAAAGAGTTTGGAAAGGAGTACCAGAGTTTGAAGGCAAATCTGGAGACTGTAGAAAGGTTCAAGGCAATTGTGGGTGGGTAAAAGGCTCTCTCTTGGTGCTCAAGTTCATTTCTTTCTAGGGCCCACAGAATTCCTCTGCCCCCAGTGCCAGTCTTCTCCCACATCCATTGCAAGGAGCAACTCTTTGCTCGATAGCCCCTATTCATCTCCCAATTAGGAAAAGGTCCAACCAGAACTCAGAAAGCCAGAGGACTACCACTTTTTCCCTTATCTGTGACTTTCTTTCTCCAGGACTGACTCCCGGGAAGGGCTGCCAGCTGCAGCCACTGCCCGCTGCTGTGGATACCTTCGGCTCTCCCTCACAGTCCCAGGCAGGCTGGGGCCATCCAACTCTGCTTACCTGTAAGTAAACCAGGTGAGTTGCCTGGCTTGGGAAGTTAATCGGCTACATTTTCAGATGACTCTGAATTTGACTGATAACTTTACCAGCATATTTTAGTGCTTGCTGTGCTTCCAGTATGAAGGAAAACAAAGTGGAAAGGGAAAACAAAGAGGAAGACCCTCTATTTGTGTGTTGTGTCTTGTCCCTGTAACTGTCTTCATTATGACTCAGTTGTTCAGGAGTACAATGCCATTAATCTCTATTATTGCTGCTTTCTCCATGACAACAATTTTCTGTGTTGCTGTTGGATGATGCACAGTCCATATCCTTGACTGCAACCAGTTAAGCCTCTGGAATAGTTTCCAAAATTTGTTGATAAGGAGACAGAGTTATTACTTGTAGCAGATCTGTTTCACATGCAGTATTCACCAGTATGAAACCTATTGTCCTAATCAGTGTTTTAAGCTACTATAGGATGGTTTTGTGAGAATGATTTTTTTTTGCTTGTGGTCTACATTCTTTGACAGAGAGCACAACTACCAACCTTTCAGAGTGTATCAATCTGTGAATGTGAAGGTGTGAACACAAGCCTGAAGAGCAGAAGGGACAACCTGAGTCACTGTTTCCAGTCTGCTTCAGTGCATATTATCAAGTCATCCCTTCTAGAAATGTCACTGTCTTTTATAAAACTAGTTGGAACATCAGGTAGAAGACTGACTAGTTATTACATACTTTTATACTCCCAAGATACATGTCTGGTATCTGGAGTATTCGCCATGTGTTTGTTTTAACATCATCCTGTGTCTGAGCTGCCTTCTTCCTGCTGTTATCTCCCGAACTGTTTATAGAGTGCACATATTCTCAGCCTTCGTTTTCCTGGATAATCAAGCCATGCTTCTCCACTGCCCTCTTCCTTGAGTTCTCTGTTCACCAGAGTGATGACATTGTTAATGACAATGGTTTAGAGATTAGATCTTGAAGACACTCATAAGTTACCTAATGCCAGCCCCATAACTTTCCCTTTCAACATGGCTCTTACCATTGCTCAGTAAACTATTCATTTGCCTCAATGCTTTCACATCTTCAGATTAATGAGTGCTTTATCATTTGATACAGTATTTTACTAAAACACAGATATCTGTGATCCACCACAGTTTCTTGAACTCTCTTATCAAACGCACATCTGATCACTTTGGCATGATCCGTCTATGACAACCAACGTAATCTTTTGTCTTATTGTAACATTTACTTGTATGGCATTTAATGTGTTTCTTTCAAAATTTGTTCTAGAGGCCAACACATTAGAAGAGCCAGCTTTCACTAGTCTAAATTATGTTTTATGTACAATTTAAACCACCACTTTATAGAGAAGTAGATTTTATCATGCCCTGATTTTAAAACTGAGTTCAGATCCAAGTCAGGCCTGGAGGAATGCCACAGCCACGCAACTCTGCCAGCAGGTCTCACTTTCCCCAAGAGCTGCCAAATCATTTTTTCTTCCTTTTCATTTCTTTGCAATCAACCCCATCACTTAGATGCTAGTCTTCACTCACTGCACTGCCCATCTCACAGTACTTTATAACATTTTTCCTTCTACTGCCCATCCTTCGTTGACTTTTTTTAACCACTATGATATCTTCATTTAACTGATCTTTTTTCTTCCCATGTACTCTCAGTTGTGGTTTCACTGTGCCCCACAGGATATGTACAGGCACAAATTCTGACAATACATTTGCAGTCAGCTGGAAAATGGAACCTTACATACTGATCTTACGTGCTTCTGCTGCAGCTGGCTGAATGGCATCTTACTGGGAGACACTTATCCTATGTTGCCTTCATACATTTTTTCCACTCTACTCCCACATACCTCCTCTAATGTCACTACTCTTTCTTTATTCAAATTATCCCACAAGACTCATTGATACCATGATACAGAGAACTGCCATGGTTCTATCCATGAATGATGGACAGAAGTCTACTGTTACTAAAAAACTGCATCTTGTCCTCCTCCCAGATCATACCTAGGTGTTATATCACCTTAGGCTGTGATCAGGCTGGGGCAAACTTTTTCAGTATTTTAAAACCTGCTAAGACACCATTGCTGATACTGTAATTCAGAAACCGATGATAGACAATAAAGATCCTTTTTATTCCACCTCCTCTATGGAAGAATGGCCATACTAGGTTAGCACCCTGCCTCTTAGAGCAGTCAAATGCTGATTTCTGCAGAGGAATGTAAGCGTTTGTGGTGTTACTCACATGCTCTTCCAGGATCCAAACATTTTCAGCTGGGATGTCTTGTGTTCCTTTGGATGTGCTCTTAAAGTAGGATGCTGTGTTAGTCTAGCGTTAAAAGCTTTTTTCAAGAGATTTTTCAGTGAAGGTCAAAAGATCCTTTTGATTTTTTTTTTTTTTTAAACACTAATTATACTTTTCTTGTTGAATTTTGGGATAAGAATGTGTATTTTAATATCAAAATTTATAAAGTTTTAGCTATTTTAGTAATATCATCAACAAGAAACAGATTTGCTCACAAAATCAGGTATCAATAAATTGAGACCTTGTGCACATCAAAGAATTTTTTATGACTTTCAAGCAGATAGCTATGGAAAACAGATGACTCTTCTCACATTGTTCAGTGATTTGATTTTGCTGGAAAATTGTAACCTTTTATGAGTGACTCCTGCCATCTCACAAACGCTTGCCAGCCATCTGAAAGTGGTCATTTGTTCACACTTCAGTATTTCTCAGTACATAGAGTTTTTCCACTACCATTGAAGTACTCTAAATTCAAGTAAGATTTTTACTTGATGCCAGGACTACTAATTTCTACACTAATTTCTACCATGCTTTTACTATTTGGCTGTTGCTAGTTACACCCATGCTTTTCCCAGTTATGTATTATATACTAAATTTCACAGACCAGCAAGTGTGAAGGAGGAAGGCTATAGAAGTCAGTTGTCAGTTGTTGAGTGCTGTTAGGGTCTGTATATGTCTAAGAATTTGCTATTATTTTACTAAGCCTAAAACTGCAGTTTATGCTAGAAACTGCTATTCAACAAAGGATGTCATATTATTGAGTGGAATGTAAGAACTACTTAGGTTTCCAATTCTCCATCTGATTACATGATGCAAAAATAAGAAAAGAACCACATAAATGTATGTGTTATACAAGGAATACTCCCATTTCCTGTGATGAGTTTTTGATATCATGTAAGAAAATGGCAACTCTTATCTACAAAGGTATTTTCCCCTTACTTGATGTCAGAGGGAAGGAAACCCCCAACCTGTCCCCACTGAGGCATCCCACAGTGCCTACAATAATTTTGTACGGTGTTCTTGTGCCTTTTCCTATACAAGAAAATTTTCCCTTTGATTTAATATTCAAGGTGTACTTGGGTATATATAGGCAGCATGCGGTGTTAAAAAGTCAGAAATCAAACGTAGCTCTCCTGGAAGGAAAAATGCTGTTTCTTTATTTCTTATTCTTGAGTTGTTGCTTCTCTGTCTCTATGGGCAGTGCAATAGCAGAATTTCAAGAAAACTTTGAGGAGTTAGCGCGTCTTACAAACAAGGAGGTAGGTCATTATCATTTCCTCTTTTTTTTTTTTACAGTTCTTGTGATGGAAGTATCAAATCGACTATGGGCTAGCTGCATCTCTAGTTTGTTTCTCCCGTGTTTTGTTTGTTAAACTTAAAATGTTGAAGGCACTGAGTGTCAGCCTCTCCTCTGAAGTTGGCACTGCAATTGTTTCCCCAAAGGAAGTTCAGAAATAGAAAACCTGATGAAGATGATATGTAGGTAGAGATGCTTAACAATGTGGCAGTTACTTAGAAATACCTTCTAACACCTCAATCTCTCTTTCTTTTTTAATTTTAGCTCTACCTTCCAGTGCCTGGACAGAGATTTCGGGTAAGACTTTTCAAGGTTCTTTATTACTGCTGTTGTACTGCTTTGTAGCAGATCTTGAAAGTAAGACCACTAACAAAGATTCAGTCTCACAGAAACGGAATATGCACGCTAATTGGGTTTTCATAAGCAATTCAGTGACATTCCTTGTATACAAAAAGTTATGCAGGTGAAAAACAGATGTTGAGACCAGGAACTTTGAGACTTGGTTATAGTTCTACTGAAGTCAATTTCACGAGCTCTCAAGATGAACTTAATACTGAGGCTGTTCTCAACACTACTACGTGTCTAGACCCCCGAGAAGTGCCTCATGTAGAGCAGAAGGCAGTGAACGCAGTTAGTACTAGAAATGCTAAAATGTTCTTACCTCTTGGCAAACAGATGAGCTATTATGAAGCATAACAGAGTTTGTCTCCAAAGGAAGCAATCTGCAGACATGACAAGTTACCTCGCGTAGATAGCCCTGTTGATCAGTGGTTTTCAGCCTGCGGTCTGCAGATTTCTCTGTGAACTATGACAGCGTCATGAAAATAACTGTTTTCATGGTCTGTTGCTGGGAGGCCTTATTTAGAGGAAAATTAAGAGTTTGCAATTTTAAAAAAGGTGAAGGGCAGCACTTTAATAGACAGATAAGTGCAATGTTTCTGTCCTGTACAGAGGTGGTAGCTCTGAGAGGCAATTAGCAGATCTTATCTCCTGGGGCTCATCGCTATGATTTTGATAAAACCCCAACCCCAACAGATTCTATTCCTGTTTACAACTATTGTTCCTGTGTTGATTTATATTTTGTTTATGATGATTTTTTTTTTATGTTATGTGCTTTTTTGTTTCCTCCACCAGATTTTTACCAACAAATCACAGAAAATACAGAAAAATATTTCTTTCCCTAATTGTAGGGAAATAGAGTAGGAAATAGATTGTTTATATTTCTGCTGTTCATGCAGTTAGTTATTGAATTTAACAACATAAAATATAACTAATTTGGCAATATAACTTTGCTGTTGTTTGATTTATTTTTTTTTTAGTGCAATTGTGTTCGCTTTCACCTGGAAGAAACCATGAAACAGCTGAATAAAACAGACTTCTTGAAGAGTGACCGGATGAAAACACTTGTTTTTCTGATGAAGGAAAAAACAGACCACATAATAACAACTTTCCATAAAACACATACAGTAAGTTTCTCATATGTTGTTTACAGTGGCTAAGCAGGATAAAAGTTTGAATTTACTGTGAGTGGACTGATTATTTGTTTTCAAAACATACAAAATTAAAGAACTCTGAGCATCCCGGTCCACTAAACTCAGTAGCAAAATTTTGACACTCTCTCTGTAACACTCTTGATTTTGCACTGTGGATCATTATGGCTGCCTTCAGCAGTGGTTTTGTAAGAACTACTTACATAAGCATAATTACATTCATAGAGTCCGGATGCAATTTATAGTTTTATAAAAGATGCGTGCCCCTTAAACAAAACCTGGTCTTGTCTCCGTGTAGAAGATAAATAAAAACAGGCCCTATGCCACATCTCAGTGAGCAAAGTCAGGAGGAAATACTCCTGATTTTCACAAGTCTTTTGTCCATTCATTCACAAAGGTCTGTCTTTCCTTCTTGATTAAATATTGCCTTGAACAACAATGGATAATCTGCAGCAATATGCACTTTTTATTCTCCTCCACATTAACCTTATTATCACTGTTACTTGTTATTATTGTAGGCACCTGAGGAAAGTCGTTTATGTCGAGTGAAAGAGAAACCTCTGCAGAGTGCCCCAGCGCTCTACAGAAAGTTTTTTCAATGGCTGCACGAGATGTGCCAGAAAACGGGCTGATGGAAACTAGCCACCCTGCTGGTTGAACATGTGTTTTATACAACACTATAGCTAATTCTGACAGAATGCTGCAAGGCTGCCACAGAGCACCCCAAAGAGACAATACAACACGAGCATGAATGTTTTATATATGTATTATCAGATATTTATTACTGTATTTCTTACTGCAGCTATTAATGTATTTATTTAATTTATAGAGAGCTTTTTATTTGTATGGAGTCAAAATGTTCAAAGTTATAATGAATAAAAGAACTTTAAGTTATTAATTCTATTGTGGTTTTGTGGTCTATGATAATTTGAATATATGCTAAGGCTTCAATAAAACAATGTGAGTTAAATTACTTTTCCTAAATAAAGACACATTTTTTTTATTTTTTTATTTTATTTATTTTTTTTTTTTAGAATTTGAAGGAAATGGTACGTTTGCTGTTGTATAGCAGTGTACATTGGTTTCCAAATGAAATGTAAAGAGTCTCTATGTTTGTGAAATCACCTGTCTGGCTTTTGAGGCATGAAGTAGCGAGAGTAACTGCCCAGTCTAGTCATTAGGAAAGTTTTAAGCCAAAGGTACTTAGCATATGTATATCTTTGGGAAGCAGTAAACCTCATCAATGAAGAAAAACATGAATATATAATTGAACAAAATTACGTTCAAGGAATCAGAAGACAGTTATTTTGTGAAGATCACAACAGACACTTAATAAGTGGCAAGTAAAGCATCAAAAGGGTGGCTGAAAGCTGAGGATGAATTTGCAAGTCCTGAGAGCACAGCAAAGAGATTCCCATCTTGGACTGAGAGAAGCCGGCACAAAACCAGACACTGTTATTACAAGGGTGAAGGTGGCTAACGCATTGGATTGAGAAATCGTAAGCCTTAGCTAGAGCATTAAGAGGAAATTAATTAGAGGAAATTAAGAGGAAATGCTGAGAACACTGACCAACCCCACAGGTCAAGTGTTCGTTGCGTTAGTTACTGAGACAGACGTAGCAACAGCAGGAGACAGTGGAACATTTAATTTTGAAAGAGCCCGTCACCTAAAGGTAGCTCCTCAGCAGGGCTCCAGAGGAGATGATGGTGCATCCTTAGAGATGGTACAGCTGAGAAACCTCATCCATAGAGAAGACATTAAGCACTCAAATGACAACTTTCATGTGTACCTATAATGATGCAAGACTGCTACAAATGAGGCAAGGCTGGAGAGCTTGCCTTTACCCCCCCCCCACCACCTTATTTTATGGTTTGTTTCACTTTTCTGCATAAAACTGAGAAATACGAGTGAAGTCAGTATTTTACAACAACGTTTGCAGAAATTAAACAATCCTATTAAAAATTAAAGCCTTTCAACCAACCATTGCTGCATGACTTTAACATTGTTACTGGTTGCACTAAAACCTTACCTTTCCTTCCAAGGTCTCTCAAAACGTGAAAAACACAGGGTGCAACGTGACTTAGTGCTGGGAGGGGATGACATCGCTCACTGATGCCATGGCTAAAACTCACAAGGCAAGCACCAACAAATACTGCTGACTGCTTAGAAGCACTAGACCTAACTAAGGTAGCTTTTCAGCAGAAAAGATCTCTAATTGCAGCATATTTTCACGCAACTGTGTGTAAGCTCAGCTCATACACACAAGAGCATACTTTCACTATTCTTTTGCAGTCAGAGGGAAATATTTTCATTTTGCTCTTCTGGAAACATTTTACTTTCTGAATTAGCACAGATTAACAGAAAGCTTGGAATGCCTGCAGTCCTCATTTTATGCCCTCTGCTCTTCAGTAATTACTGGTGCCAGGATAAGAAAATTCAGAGTCACTTCAGAGCATTTTAAAATACCATCTGGTTGAGTGTGAGAAAGAGATTGTCAGTGTTCAGAGGGACTTGATTGCCAATGTGGGGCATCATCCATTTGCAGCCTGGCCCACCTGTTGAAAAGTCAACTTGGGAGAGAAAGGAATGATGCTGTTTCAAACCAGCCTCACCAAGACACATGAATGAGATTTTTTGGGAGGGAAAAACTGTAAATGTAAGGGCAGGGAAAGTGATGAGGCTGACTGTGCAACATTTAAAATTCACATTCAACATACACGGTCCTCTTCGCTACTGTGAATAAAGAGAAGCCTGAGCCTTGAGGCTGTCATTTTCAAGGTGTATAGGCAAAAAAATCAAACTCACCCAGAGCCTGGGCTTAGGGAGGTCTCTTGCTGAAGGGAAGAGGACACCCAGCCATACTCCTCCTGCGGAGCGTGGTTTACAATGTGGGAACTGAAACCCTGGTGTCAATGATAAAAATCAGAAAACAAAGAAACAAAGAATTAGAGACAAACACAGAGTTACTTAAGGTGAACGAACTATAATCACAGATTTCTGGGCTCCTATCAATTTCATTTTCTGTTAGGTCGTGCCTTTACTCCAGCATGGGGCACAGAGAGAGCTGCAAATGGCATCAGCTTTGTCTGAGACCTTTTCTTCCAGAAACAAATAAACAAAAACAGCGGCTGATGTCTTCCTTTGTGTGGAGAAAGGGAAAGCCTTGGTTAGTCCATGCATTTCTAATCCTTTACTCTTTTGTGACGTATTCAGCAAAACCTTAAACACCAGGTTTAAGCTCTCCCTGCAAGAAGCAGATAAGGCATCGTTCCCATGTACCCTTGGCCCCGTCCACTTCTGCCCAGCCTGTGCCGATCTCCCTGGCAGAGTTAAAACCATTCCCCAAGGAACGCTCCCCAAACAGCAGCCCAGCTGCTGCCCATGGTGCTTCCAGAAAGCAGTCACCCCCACAGAACACTACAGAACTGTAAACAACATTCCTCCTGTCTTCCTAAGAAAAAGATGTACATGTTTTTTTAGGTCAAGCCTTTTATAAAATTTCTCAACTTTCCTGGCTTGACGCTGGCTTCTGAGCAAGCCGCGGGTCTGCAGCTGTGGCAGAGGGGCTCCCAGGAAGGCCCGCCGTGCTGCAGGATGCTGGAAGTGCTTCACATACAGAGAAAACAATCGATGTAACATTTACTAACGATGTGCAGTGATGAAATAAAGTTTCCATAAGTGAAGTTACATGAGTCAAAAGCTGCCCATTTATTAAGATGGATTAAAAATGAAGATAAAGTCTTTCCAAGCCCTACGATCTCCTCATACATCTAGCCTGCCCATTCAGATAAGGGAGGGAAAAGACCCAACATCGATCTCTCACAAATGTCACCCTAGGATGCCCTTTACCCACACCCATCGGTCCCATTTATCACCAAAACACCCACACATTCCTCCTGATGGTGCCTGGGGGCTTCCCCCATGGGCATGCTGCTGCCCACAGCCCTGGAGCATGGGGGACAGAAGAGAAGTGGCTTAAGGGATCCCCAAGCATCACCTCTGCCATGCTCCAGCACTGTCACTGCCACCTGCCCCTGGACAGCAGCTGCCACAGTCTTCAGTGGACAGACCATCGAGGACAGGAGCTGGAGCCTGCTCCTGGCTTTCAGAAGTTTCCCTTTTCTGGAGCCTGGCGAGGCACAAGCTGCTGCACCATATCCATGCTGCATTACTTAATCGGAGCAGCACAGAAAGCTTATCTGGGCATCGTAACTTCGTGCTTATCTAGATGAATGAGCAAAACCAGATACTGCAGATGCAGCTTCCAGCTAATGATGCCTCCAAAAAAAATCCGGAGGTGATGGTAGCATGTCAGTTCACGTGTCTCACTTCAGGGCCACCTCTCTCAGCACTGCAGTGTGTCGAACTGCCCTTGATTAGATTATTTATTCACTTTCATATTCCTGATCATTCCAAATTCAGATGGAGTAACTTCGGGTCAATCCAAGAGTTTGAATTTGCATTCAGTGCTTTTTTTCTCCAGCCTTCAAAAATTCTTCAGAATTATTTTATTTTTATTACTACCAATTCTGTTTGTGTTCGTGGTGCCTTCACTCTGCCCATGCTCACAGATCAGATAGATTCCAGAGCTGTGGAGACCAAGGTTTACAGCATGGAGAAGGTCAAGATCTGTTGCTTTCATCACCCTTTTTGTTCTTAGAGGTGTCCTTCATCTTCTTAACCATGAACTCACATGTAAAAAGCCCTCAGAACAATGATGAAGCTGAGACTGAAAGTAATGACTACAGTTTGTGTGGGGACACTGAGCCAGTTTAGGGAAAAAAAAAAGACACAGGGAGAGTTTGAAGTTATTTCATGAAGAAGCAGGGGTAAAAAATGGGAACTGCATCACAAAGTCTTACTGTTTTGGAGTATGTGACAAAATGATGCAATGGTCATGAAAACATGAAGAACAAACAGGGCAAAGACAAGCTCATGATAGTGGTATTTGTAATAAATAAACAAAACAATGTAATTCTTGGGAACCAGGAATGAATGTCCTAATTAAAAAGAAAAGAAAAGCCCATTAAATTTGCCAAGGGAAAAAAGGAATTGTACAGTTCATACAAAGTTCTGGAACAGTGCTGCAATTCCACAGAAGTGATCAAAAACCCGAAACCCAAAAGGGAGGAAAAGTAAAGAAAGGCTTGAGACAGAAAATCTGTTAGCAGGCAAGTTGGCCAGGAACAAAATGGAGCTGTGCTGTGTGTGATGAGAAGACCCGAGCAGGAGGGATGGCAGCAGCTCCCCCAGGGACAGGACCAGCTCTGGCATGGGCTGAGCCAGCCCTGGGCAGAGGCAAAGATTAACAAAAAAATAATAAAAAAAAATTACACAGCAGGCTGGAGGTCCTGCAGCCCTTCAAAACCATGGTGCCCATGCAGGCCTCCAGGGACAGGGTCAGGGTCAATAGCTTGCCTGGCTGGTGGGTACAGCCCCAGTGCCTGCAGAAGGGGAAGGGGGCTCTGCCCCAAAACAGAACGCCAGTGACTGGGGTCAGCAGGCAGGGACCTGGGGGTCCGCCTGGGCCAGCCCCTGCTCAAGCAAGGCCACATTGCTGCAGGTTTGTGGGAGGTAAGTTGGAACAGACCATAAAACACTTCTTGCTGTTGCCGGAAGCACAGTGGGCCAAAAAAGGGCTTTTTGAGTTCATTCCCAGCATTCACAAGTTCAGCTGACAGAGTCTTTCTGCGGGGCTCCCTCGGTTCCCACTGATGCCACCGAGATCCTGTGCTGCAAGGCCGCGGTCCCTGCAGCTGCGTGATGAGAAGGCACCGCAGATAAACTGGCAGCGCAAAGACACTATCTAGTGATAGGGATGACAAACCAAGCAAGCGAAACTGGCAGCGACCAGCCAGATGGTTATTCTCAGCTGCACCACATAACCACCGCTGACTCTCCCAGTTTGAGGCACCGAGACACCGGGGTGACACTCAGCTGCTGCAGCCTCAGGGCCCCGCTGCCAGCCCTGAGCTGCTCAGCACCACCAGCCAGGCAGCAACGTGCAGAAAGCAGGCGGTGATGTTAAGCAGACAGAAACATAACGGGGCCCTGAGGTTTGCCACCGCTTCCTCCGAGCAGCCAGAGCACTGCAGGGACAGGAGCGTGCGGCTGCGAGGCCTTCAGAGCTGCCCACGGTTGGAGCCCCACAGAAGAGAACCAGTAAGGGTTTCCCCGAGGGATCAGGGCTCCCTGGCCTTGCTGCATGGCCCCAGTGATCTCAAGCAAAGAACCATGGCACTTCCAAG